TGACTAAAAATAAAGTTGCCAGATTTAGATGCCAAATTTATCTGGAGGTAAAACCGTGAAGAAAAAGCCAAACCTTTTGAAAATCGGTAGAGTTTTGACCGAGTTATGGGGGTGGGAAATTTCGACCTATGTCTATGTAGGATATTTGAGGGTACCATTTTCACATGAATTTTGACTAAAAATGAGGTTGCCAGATTTAGATGCCAAATTTATCTGGACGTAAAACCGTGAAGAAAAAGCCAAACCTTTTGAAAATCGGTAGAGTTTTGACCGAGTTATGGGGGTGGGAAATTTTGACCTATGTCTATTAGGATATTTGAGGGTACCATTTTCACATGAATAAAATATAAGTTGCCAGATTTAGATGCCAAATTTATCTAGTGGTCAAATCGTGAAGAAAAAGCCAAACCTGATGGAAATCGGTTGAGTTTTGTCCGAGTTATGGGGGTGGGAAATTTCGACCTATGTCTATTTAGGATATTTGAGGGTACCATTTTCACATGAATTTTGACTAAAAATAAAGTTGCCAGATTTAGATGCCAAATTTATCTAGAGGTCAAACCGTGAAGAAAAAGCCAAACCTGATGGAAATCGGTTGAGTTTTGACCGAGTTATGGGGGTGGGAAATTTTGACCTATGTCTATATAAGATAATTGCGGTTATACCCTGGGCTTGTCCGTGGCACGTTTAAAATAAATTCCCCTCAAAGATACACAAAAACGGTAAACAAAAAATCTGCATACAAACGTGTTTCGCGTTTTTTCCACCCTTTCGGGTGGAATTACCCGAAACCCAGTTTTAACATGCACCTTCATCACATAAGGTAACTACAGTGAAAATTTCAGTCACTCAGTCAGGACAAACAGTTTTTTATATATTGATGAGAGACACATTTAGCTGTTGCTTAAAGGACTTTAGACCCAAAGACTCTTTAATATAAATTCGCTTTTCACTCGGATTATTATAAATACACGGAGAGGCAAATTGTTACTAAATAGTTTTTCCCATTGCTCTTTCCACCTTCACTTGCTTCTCACACTTACATGACTTTCTCTATATGTATGCAAGTATTTACCGGGAGGGGATAGCCAACCCTCCTCCTACTCCTCCCCCTCCTCCTCCTACTCTTCCTCCTACTCCTCCCTCATATAAGGTTGAGATTAAGCCACCTTTTTAGTGCCTATTGCACAGGGCACTCCATTAGACTTAATCTCTGTGCATTTCGCTATTTTTTGTTGCTGTTTTTGTTTATATTTCTGTTGTTGTTGCTGCACTCACGTTCACAGTGCGCACGAAAAGTATGCACTGCTGTTTTTTATGCCAGCTGCATGCTTGCCAGAGCAAGATAAAGAGGGAGAAGGAGAGCGAGAGAGAGGAAGAGAGAGGGAGAGACAGAGAGAGCGAGCGAGTGAATTAGCATTAGGGGCAGCCAAAAAGCCAGTGTTATAAAACGCCACAAAATGACCATAAAATAATAATAATAATAATGAAATCAGCTAAAGCAAAACAAATGTCGACCATAAACTAAACAAATTGAAGTCAAGTGGGGCAACTAAATGAAGGGAGGGGTGAAGGAGGGGGGGGGGGTAGAGCTTGGGCAGAATATACAACACACAAATACAAAGACAAATCCACAAAGTAAATTGTACACATTTTCACACCTTCTGCTCGACCCTAGAGTTTATTATTGTGTGTGCCATAAATTAGCCATAAAATGCTGCGAAAAAACTGCTACGTTCCTTGACAGTGAATCCCACTTGTCGGCGCACTTTAGCTTGACTTTGGCTAAAAATAAACCATGTGGCGAATGTGCCCCCTAATGCCTGTCAAAGCCAGTTTGTGCTATTTTGTGATGGGGACCAATTCCCAGTTCCCAGACTTGGCCAAGAACTGGGAATATGTTTGTTTGTACGACATAATCAGCGAGCGATTCAAGATATTTTTAGTTTAAATCGATTGAATTTCCTTTGTTGCCAAGTAAAAGGGATATGATTACATAAGATGCTGGCTCAAGGAGAGCGAGAGAGAGAGAGAGCAAGAGAGAGAGAGAGGAGTGCGACTATTCAGATTCTTTAAGTCTGGTAGCTATATCTTCTAGCCTCTCGATGGAGGTCTTTTAACTGTGCCCACAACTAAGAAGGAGAGAAAATAGTACAAATAATCTTAACTTACAATAAATAGGAAAAAGGAGAAAGAAAGAAGTTACCAACAGAGTAGAGTGTTAAGTAGATAAAGGATAAAGAGATACTGATGGGAAATAAACGAACCGTTGGGGAAAATTTAAAGCCTGTCCAAGCAAGCTAAGCCCCTACTCTTAGCTGGAAATGCTATTCCAGGCTTTCTCTCTCTCCCGACTTCAACTGATTGCGAATTGTCTTCTCTTAACCAAGCTCTTTTCCCAGTAAAGCTTTACTGCTTGGAATCTCTGATTTTCAGGCAACTTATTGGAACAGAAGACAATTTCGAACTAGTTCTGACTTTAAATCGAAACGAACCCAACCAAAATGTGCTCTAAAGCTCGCTCGTGTTGAATTGCAGATGACAAACTCGGGCGTTGCATCTTGCATCGGCTAATGGCCGATGTTGCAACATTTTGTTAATGAACTTGCAGCTGCCACGGGGCAAACGCAATTATCAGCCAGAGCCAGAGCACACTTTCGAGTAGTGGAAAACATTCAACTACAGGCTAATGAAATTTAGATACCCTACAAAATATTCACTGCATTAAGAAAAGAATGTAAAAATAAACTACATTTATCATTTTTCTTTTGCTTAGATTAGTTTGTCAATCTAGAGTTTCAATTAAACAAACATTTTCAATATTATTCATTTGAGCCGTGCAACGCTTGGTAATTTCTGCTAATATATAATATTCACTGAATAAAGAAAAGAATGTAAAAATAAACTACATTTAACATTTTTCTTTTGTTTAGATTAGTTTGTCAATCTAAAGCTTCAATTAAACAAACATATTATTCATTTGAACCGTGCAACGCCTGGTAATTTCTGCTAGTTTATGTATATGTAAAAACTAGTTTTATGCCATATTTAAAATATCCTCTAGGGGCAAGGGTAAACGTTTTTAAAGTTTGTGCCTGACATTCATGTGACGCCCGGCAATTCTAAATTGTGTGGCGTGGCGGGGGCGGGGGGCGGGTCGAATGGGGCGTACGCCTTCCAAATACGGTACGACAATGTCTACTAATTGAGCACAGTTCAGAGCGCGGGTGCGTGCCGCCTTTTGCACCTGTGACTGTACCTGCAGCCGCACCTGTGCCTCAGCCTCAGTCTGTGCCTCTGTACCTGTGCCTCTTCCTCGTCTGTGCCTTTGCACCTGTCACTGACACTGACACACGCAACACCACATGCTTCATGCTGGATGCTTCTCCCAGTTGTTCTTCTTCTTGTTCTCAGTTCTCAGTTCTCGCCTTGACTCCGGCTGTTGCATACACTCTTCCATTTCGGGATGCCTTTTGTTGCTTATTAGAAAGCGAATGTCTCTGCCGCATGAAAGCATAAATTAAATGAGCTCGTCTTCTTGTTGTTCTTCTTCTTATTCTTGTTGTTGTTGTTGTTGTTGCTGCTTCAGTAAATCGGTGGGCATGGCCATGCGCCCCTTTGCACTGGCAGCAAATGTCGATTCAGATAAAATTACGTATACGTACGCAGCTGGATAACAATCACATGTACGTGTGTGTGCGTGTGTGTGTGTGCGTGTGCGTGTGTGCGTGGGCGGGTGTAAAAAGTTTTGTGCTGTTTTGAGCCTCGGTGTAGCATTTGGCTTCAATTTGTCGCCGTCTGTTTTATGCTCACATTTTGTGATATAATATTGTATATAAAAAACATAAATTCCCTTTTGCCTCTGCGGTGTGTGTGAGTGTGCGTGTGTGTGTGTGTGTGTGTGTGTAGGCGTGCTTCAAAAAAGATTATTTCCGAATTATGTTTGGATACACCGCACACAGAGAAAAACCCAATTACAGTAAGTGAAAAATGTGTAAAGGAATGCTTCGAAAATAGACCCTTGCTTTGGCTTGACGACAAAAACATTTGAGAATAAATTAAAATTTCAATCAGAATTCCAACGCGGCCTAATTGAATAATCCGGCTGGATCAATCAAAACATTTGTGGCTTGTTTCGCTATTTGTTATGATATCCTCTAATCGTAAAAAGATATAGACTTCTATATAGACTCTCTAGGAGAGAGCTGGAAGATAGCTTGGCGATAAATAGAGCAAATCAAAAAAGAGCCTTTTCTTTGACTTTCCTCCGAAAGGTAGAAGAAAACTTGATGGCAATATGAGCGTATCATGCTTTGGAAGATAGTTGGAAGATAATTTGGCGATATACATAATAAATTTGTACAAATGAAGCAGATGTTGGATAATAACTTGATGCTTTAGTAGGTGTATATAATTAATATATAATGTCTATTACGAACTTTGACTAAAATTCGACTAAAATTAATATATAAAATTCGACAAGAACTTCGACTAATATTTGACATAAATTAATATACAATGTGTATTACGATCTTCGACTAAATTTAATGTATAATGTGTTTTACGAACTTTGACTAAAATTCGACAAAAATTAATATATATAATTCGAATAAAATTAATATATATTGTGTATTACGATCTTCGACTAAAATGAATATATATTGTGTATTAGGAACTTTGACTAAAATAAATATATAATGTGTATTAGGAACTTCGACTAAATTTAATATATAATGTGTATTACGAACTTCGACTAAAATTAATATATAATGTGTATTACGAACTTCGAACTAAAATAAATATATTTTGTGTATTAGGAACTTTGACTAAAATTCGCCTAAATTTAATATATATTGTGTATTACGAACTTCGATTAAAATAATATATAATGTGTATTACGAACTTTGACTAAAATTCGACTAAAATGAATATATATTGTGTATTAGGAACTTCGACTCGAGTCTGTCAGTATTTCTGTTGTTATGTTGTCAACGTGAGTTCGTTTAGAAAATTTATTTATTTGTACACAACACAACAACACAAGCACACAATTTGTAAATTAACACACACAGAATTTCTATTAGAGACAGAATACACAGAACAGAATGTTTACGCAATTATTATTGCCACAGAAGGGTTTGCTGCTGCTGCGGCGCTGGCAAATGGGCAACTCGCCGCTCTTTCAGCCAAACAAGGAGATCAAGGAGTTGAGGGAAATCAGCCAGGATGCGGCCAAGATGAGTAAGAAGGCCAAGCCTGCCCCGGCGCCGGCTAAAGCAGGTCCGGCTCCGGGCAAGGGCAAATCTGGCCCGGCTGCAGGCAAGGCTTGTGGACGCGAGCCGCCGACTCCGCCCAAGGAGATGTTGTCGAATACGAAAACGGATTTTGGGCCGCTCACCGATTGCGATCGCATCTTCCAGAATCTGTACGGCCGGCTCGACTGGCGCCTGAAGGGCGCCTGCGCCCGCGGCGATTGGTATCGCACCGCCGATCTCCTAGAGATGGGCCCGCAGTGGATCATGGACGAGGTGAAGCGCAGCGGACTGCGTGGACGCGGCGGCAGCGGTTACTATGCGGGCAGCAAATGGGAAGCGCTGCAAAAGGCGGAGAGCAAATCGAAAGTCCTTATACTCAACTGTGCCGAGGGTGAGCCGGGCACGTGCAAGGATCGCGAAATCCTGCGCCACGAGCCGCACAAAATCATCGAGGGCTGCCTGCTGGCAGGCTTTGCCATGGGCTGCGAAAAGTGCATCATCTATATACGGAATCGTTTCTACAACGAGGCCTGCAATCTGCAGTTCGCCCTGGCGGAAGCCTATCGCTACGGCCTGATTGGCTGCAACTCGTGCGACACGGGCATCAAATTCGAGATACACGTCCAGCGCGGAGATCGTTATCTGACGGGCGAGGAGACGGCCCTGGTCAATTGCCTGATGGGCAAGCTGGCGCGTCCCCGCAAGCGTCCGCCCTATCTGTACGAGAAGGGCTACTTCGATCATCCCTCGACGGTCATCAACACGGAATCCTTGGCCGTCGTTCCCACCATCTTGCGACGCGGCGCCAAATGGTTCACCAGTCTGGGACGCAACAAGAATTTCGGCACCAAGCTGTTCAACATTAGCGGCCATGTCCTGCATCCCTGCACCGTAGAGGAGGAGATGTCCATGCCGCTCCGTGACATTATCGAGATGCATGCCGGCGGCGTTTGCGGCGGTTGGAATAATCTGCTGGCCGTCTGGCCGGGCGGTTTGTCCTCCCCAATCTTGGGCCAGGCAGCCGCCGAGGAGGTGCTCATGGACTATGACGCTTTGGAGGCGGCGGGCAGCGAACTCGGCACCGGCGGCATCATAGTCGTCTGCAACGATTGCGACCCGCTGCTCGTGATGCAGCGCAGCATCGAGTTCTACATGAAGCAGACGTGCAAACAGTGCACGCCATGCCGCGACGGCGCCATCTATCTGCCGGAGATCTTCAAGAACTTCACCCGCGGCGAATCTGTGCCGCAAATGATCGACTTTGTCGAGGTCATCAGCAAGACCATGACCGGCACGACCATCTGTGCTCTGTCCGACAGCCAGGCGAATATCGCTCGCGGACTCATCCAGCACTTTGCGCCCTACATCGAGGAGCGCATCCTCGAGTATCTCAACGATGTCGATGATTGTTGAAGTTCAAGTTGAAAGAGAAGAGGAGCTTGTTGTTTGTCCAATAAATTGATTTTCAATTGCATATCGATTGGCTGTGTCTCTCCACCTTGACTTCCGTCCTCCTTTTGGCGTTCGAGTGGGGGAGACACACGGTCTTCCGCTCGAATCGAATGTGTCGCAATTGGAGGACATGTTTGCCAAATGGGCTCCTGCCATGTCCTTGCCTCGCCTCGCCTGTTGCCACAGACTTACGGCTGGCAGCTGTTGTAGGCAAAAACAAGAGGCGATTTAAGGATATCCTGTTCCTGTCAGACCTTGCCTGGGCAGAGAGTAACAACCTTAAAGGTGAGAAGAGGAAGGAAGAGATCTTTGAAAATCTCGTGAATGAAAGGTTAAAGAGATTAGAGCCTTCTATTTATTAAAGTATCAGGTTAATTGATTTAATATCCTGTTCCTGTCAGACTCTGAAAATCTCATGAATGAAAGCTGAGAGTTTAGAGTCTAGTAAAAGGTCAGATTAATTGACTTCATCCGGAGCATCAATATTTTCTATACAAAATACGATCGAAACTTTTGATCATGCACTCAATTATCAGGAAATTATTATGAAGTAGATGTTACACTAGCTCTATCAAAACTTCTGGAGCTGCGACTGTGAAAGTTGTCTGTGCCCAGTAGCTTAGCTGAGCTTAAAGGACACTCGTTGAAAAGTCCTGCACACATTGATATAATCGATAGTAGATAGTTTTTAGCGCGCACATGCATGGCCCCCTTTTAGTGCACTTCCTGCACAGGATATTGAACAGGATGAGCGGGGTCAAAGTGTAAGAGAGAGGCAGAGCAAATCAGAAATTGATGTGAGTACGAGTGTGGAAATTGCAAAGGACACTTTGTTGACATAAACAAACACCAAAGCATTTGTCTGCGCTTCAATGATTGCAGCCTCTCTGTGTGTGTGTGTGTCGGTGTGTGTGAGTGTGTGTGTGGAAGTGTGCCTGAGTGTGCCTTGTGGGTCACCGTGTATCCTTTGGCCTTTTTAGTCAGCTTCCGTTTTTGCCAATAATCACATTTCGGCAGCCGTACACGAGCTATATATTTAAGTATGTGTTGTTTGCCTTTACTAATTTGCAGCTAAGCGGTGTGTGTGTGTGTATGTGTGTGTGTGTGTGATTTGTTGTGCGGCACTTGCTGCGGCTCATTTTTCACTTGAGCTAGTCGCTGAGCTTGAGTCTTATCTCAATTAGGAATTCATTCATTTCAACAGCCGAGCACAGTCCTTGACACTTGATGACATTTGGCTCCATATCGTTGCGCCTTGGTCCTGCCTCGGTCCTGCCTTGGTCCTGCCCATCCTCTGTCGAGGACTCCTCCTGCTCCTGCTCCTGCTGTCATTTGTGCGAGTGGAAATCTGTTAAAAATGAACGTGACGTAAATACAGCCATGTCTGTCATACAATCCTATACACGAGGAGAAAACGTTGTCGTCTTACTGAAACTAAGGAACTACAAATTAAATTCTCTTGTCATGAACCTCTATTAATTCCAAAATATCTTAAGTCAAGACTTAATCAAGTAATGTTAAGTTTAAAATGGGAACATTTTGTGCTTAGTTCTTGAAACAAGTACTTAAACCAAGTTCTTTCGTTTCTTTTTTTTAAAAGATCTTTTTATTTCGAGCCAGGTCTTTCTCTGAGTGTATATAATATAGCTAAACTTAAGAGTTAATTAAATAATGCTGAGCTTCCAAGTGGGAAAGTTTTGTGCTTATTTGCAGTGAGCAAATTCTTTTCACCAAGTACTTGAACCAAGTCTTAGCTAAATTCAATATTGATTCATATTTTGCTCAAAGAATATTCAAAGTGGGAGATTTTGTAATTTCGAGCCAGGTTTTTCTCTGAGTGTATTGTACTTAAACCAAATTCTTTCGCATTTCTTTTGCTTTCTAGGTTGATTCGTACTTTTCTCCCGCTGGGAATATTCAAGCTGGGACATTTTGTCAGTTTTTTCTCTCAGTGTATACATGCATTTCACACCTCTTCGCAGTGCTGCCTTGAGTGATTATGCCAACTACTCAACGGCAAAGCCTCCGCTACTGCATTGCAAATTACCAATGAAAACCCAGTTGAAGTACTCCGGCTACTTTTTTTTTTAAAGCTGCCTTCAAGTGCGGCGGCTTTGCACGGTTCGCCGACGGCGCTTTTGTTGCTTTGATGCGGTTTTTTGAGGAGCGGCAGTTGAATGATGTGTCCCTTTTGAGTTGAGCGCCATTAGAGCGAATTTGAATAATAGAATAGCTATATAATAGATTTCACTTTCATGTTTACAAATTGTGGAGTACTCTTGTGGTTTCTAAACATTTCGGGTTTTTTGGTCACACGCGGAGTGTCCTCTTTGTGTAAGTGTAAGCGCGTGTTGCGATTTTTATAGCGAATCATTTGGCTGGATAACAAACCACATATGCCAAGCACTCTGTCTAATTAAGACGAGTCAACCTCTTTTTCTATCTCTCTCTCTCTCCTTTAGCCAAACTTTCGTAGTTGCTCGCTGTATCTATTACTCTCACTCGCCCCTCTCTGCGATTTTCAAAACATTTACGTAAGTCCCAGTTGTAACGTTTCTCAATACTGAGTTTACATTAAAGGGTTATTTAAAAAACTTTTATAGAGAATCATTTGGCAAGATAACAAACCACATATGCCAAGCACTCTGTCTACTTAAGAAGACTCTCTCTCTCTTTCTCTCTCTCTCTCCCTTAGCCAATCTTTCGTAGTTGCTCGCTGCAGCTTTTACTCTCACTCGCCCCTCTCTGCGATTTTCAAAACATTTACGTAAGTCCCAGCTGTATCTCTTTACATTAAAGGGCTATTTCAAAACTGGCTAAAATATTATTAGTCTTATAATAAGGAGTAAGTCAACCTGACCCTGACTTTAATAACCCCTCATCTTAAAGTTCGCTCAACTCTTGAGATTCAATGGCTGCAAAAAAAATGTAGCATACTTTGCAGCGCCGCGCTGGCACTAAGCTCGTCATTTGCTTAACTTGCTTAACATTTGCTGACTTGGGGCTTTTTTTGGGGCTCTCGCACATCGTCGGGCAGCCAATTGCTTATTAAAGTCCAATTAGAACTTTGAGCAATCATTCGAGTAGGAAAAAAAAAGAAGAGAGGCAACGAAAATTTAGTTACCCAAATAACGTTGCGTACGTGTCGGCACAATATTAAAATGTCTTTTGTTTCTGCATAATATTTAATGGCGCGTTATCTCAATTTCTGTGCGTAACTCTGACTGCACACAAGTTAACCCCTCCCCCTCCCCCTCAAGTATTGATTTTGGCCAGATATGTGTCTGTCAGCAGGAGGAGTGCGTACTTGTTATCCTTGACTCGCATGGCCAGCGGGATTATAATACGCACATAATCTCAAATGAAAGCAAAAATGTCTTGAATTCCGCAAATTAAGGCAACTCTGGCAGCAACAACAACTCTATATGGCGAGAAAAGCTGGCATTTTCTTTTTGACGTTTTCGCTTTTCTTTAAATATCCTGCACAAAGGACAGCTGAGGGAGTATATACCTCTGTTTTTATAGTCCACAATTAAAGTGTTTTTAAAAGAAACTGTGCTTTAATCCCAGATTAATTTATATATGTAATATAAATTATTTAAAATGTTTTTGCTATGTTTGAAACCATTTCATATGCATTTATTTAAGAGATACATTATATTATATAATATATTTGAATGTTAAAAATAGTCTAAAAATATTGAACTAATATGTTCTTGTTAAGGTTAGAAAACTGTATTTTGCACAGAAGTTACAGAAGTTCTCAGATAACTCGGAACTATTTTGACAACCTCTAAAGACTACTATTTAATTTTTTTTTAATTATTTAGAGAATTGCAGATAGTTTTGATTTACTTTAAAAACCTCTTAAGATTATTATTACATTTATTTATTATTTTCCTATATTTCATACAAGTCATTTTTAATTTTTAATTATTAGAAGAACTACAAAGTTATTTTAAGTGTCTCCAATTTTGTGTAGGGTATTCCAGAGTCGGTCAATTTTATTGTTATTTTTCACAGAAGTTAGAGAAGTTTTGAGTTAGTTCTTAACTTTTTTGAACACCTCTGTAAACAGTTTTTTAATTTTTTTTCATTATTTTCTCATATTTAATACAAGTCATTTTTAGTTTTTAATTATTAGTAGAACTTCATAGTTATTTTAAATGTGTCCATGCTTTTATTTGCAGGGTATTTCGGCGTCAATCAGCTATATTATTTGATTTTTGCCACTTGTTTCTTGAGCTCGATTCGAGCTAAGCTGTTGAAATGCTTCGCATAACTTTTACTTTTTTTTCTTTCTGTTTTCTGTTTTGTGTTTCCTCGCAATTTTCAAAGGCAATCGAGGCAACATTTGTCGCCTTAGTCCTGTGGCGACCTTGTCGCGGACCTGGTCCTGTCTCACTCACACACACTCTCTCTCGCTCGCTCTCACAGCGAGACTTTCTCAAATGAAGCTGTGCGTGTGTCGAGAGTCCGTGGATCAAGGATCGACAAGGGTTCTCTCAATTTGTTGTTTAACATTTAATCAACATTAACATTTTGCAATATGTACAATATTTAACAGAGCTCTCAGTTTGTTGTTTAACATTTAATTAACATTAACATTTAACATTTTGCAATATGTACAATATTTAACAGAGCTCTCAATTTGTTGTTTAACATTTAATTAACATTAACATTTAACATTTTGCAATATGTACTACATTTAACAGAGCTCTCAGTTTGTTGTTTAACATTTAATTAACATTTAACATTTTGCAATATATGTACAATATTTAACAGAGCTCTTAGTTTGTTGTTTAACATTTAATTAACATTAACATTTAACATTTTGCAATATGTGCAATATTTAACAGAGCTCTCAGTTTGTTGTTTAACATTTAATTAACATTAACATTTAACATTTTGCAATATGTACAATATTTAACAGAGCTCTCAGTTTGTTGTTTAACATTTAATTAACATTAACATTTAACATTTTGCAATATGTACTACATTTAACAGAGCTCTCAATTTGTTGTTTAACATTTAATTAACATTAACATTTAACATTTTGCAATATATGTACAATATTTAACAGAGCCCATTTGCATTTTTAATGCTCATCATTTTGTCATTATATATGTATTCCTTTGGCCCTAATTGACATCTCGAAATGATTTCGGCTTGAATATTGCGTATACGCCACGTGCTTTGCTCAGGTCTGTTCAATGAGCTGTGCGAACTTCAAAAGCATTTCGTTCGCAACCCTTTTTAAAACTTTATTTTATAGTCACACTTTAAGCCAAGTTTAAACTGACTTTTATCTCTCTATTTTACAGCAACTAGCATTATTTAATATCTCCACAAATGTTGGGCAAATTCACATCGAACCATGTCCAGGTCTATCATCAATACTCGCGCACAGTTTCCGTAAAAAAGCCCGTCAAGGTGAGTCGTCCGGCATATCCGAAATTTAATATTTGTATGTTTGTTGTTGCTTTTGCATGGGTATTTCATGGTTTTAACCCGAGTTTTTGTCTGTTGTGCCGTTGCCTAAGTAAACACAATTAGCATAACATGCCCCTCAAGGGTTCAAATCCCCTTGAAAGGCAACGGAAATCATATATTTTATGTTTAAATTATTCGTAATTGGGGCATTTGGTTTTGTTTGTTTGTTTGGTTTTTGTGCATTTAAACAATATCTTTTTCAGTTGGTTTTTGTAGTTGCTTAAAGAACTGTTCAACACTAGCAAACAGGGTTGTATTACAAATATATATTGGAGTTGTCAAGCCTTGCACAGATATTTATCTCCCCCCCGCACGTTATGTACGCCTGCATGCCAAATCAATTAATGAATAAATATACATAAATAATTCATAAATATATACATTTTTCTTTCTCGCCCACCCCCTCCCCCCTCTTTTACCTACGACATCAACCAATACAGGCTGCTTAGCCTGCATGTTGTGCTCATTAATTAAGTAGCGAATTGCCAGGATTACTTTACTCAACGCTCAACTCTCTCTCAACTCTCTCCGCATCAGCAACAGCCAGTAACTACGTGAGAGAGCACGCGAAGTGTGGAGTTTCGCTCTCTCTTTAACTCTCCTTATATCTGTGTATGTGTGTGTCTCTGTGCGTCCATAGCGGACTATGTTGAAACCGAAACGTTTGGCGAAGCAGAAGCCCAAAGCGAAACCGGTAAGCGAAAACTCACATAATCTCAAAACTCAGACTCAAATTTAAAAACAGCTCAACTACACTCTGTACACTCTTTTCGCCCCTAATCTATCAAACTTTCTTTTCTAGTAGTAATCGCTTTCTCTCTCTCGCTCTCTCTCTCTAACTATCTAAACCAAAATGATATGACGCATAATTTAAATTATTTATCGCTTAACATTCTCCCGCTTCCTTTCAAAGAAACTTTCTTCTCTGCTAATTGCCACATTGACTGACTGCCAAACTGCTTTGTTGTGAAAGAAAAACAAAAGAAAAAAAACAAAACTGAACAAAGATAAAAATTAAAGAAAAGGAAATGTTTAACGCTTTGTCTTCAATTATATAACATTTCCTTTCTCTTGATTTCCATTATACTTTTAACATTTCGTATTTGCTCTCTTTCGGTTTTTCAATCTGTGGTTGCCCAACTTTTTGGCACTGGCCTTGAAAACTTTTTAATGATAATAATAGTTAAACATTAAATGTTAAGTAGTTAACTATTTGCGCATTTTAAAAGTAGTTTAGAATTTATGTAGTTGGCTGCCTGCCGCCTTGTCTAGCAAATTGCTTAGTAGCTTGCTTTTACAAATAAGTGGAATTAAGTACTCTTAAAATACTATTTATCTATTATAATGTGAATATATTTAAAGTACGCTAATTGTTAAGCCTAAAAGTATGCTCTTAATGCGCGGATTATATGTGGGTGTTATGCTCTCTCTTTCTCTTAGGCAGCTCAGCCGCTATCAGCTGTCGGCTTATCTTACTCGTGACGTCACTGCGACATTTGAGTAATGAGAAAAGCGAACTTGGAATTGCCGCAAGTTGAGGCAGCTGCAGTAAATGCTCTTTATATTCATAATCATTATTATTACAGTTGCTTTGGGTCTTATGATTGTGCATTAAAAGTTTTGCCCAGTGCCCCGCCCCGCTCTCGTCCCCCCACAAGTCAGAACTTTTTAATGAAGTTTGTTTTTGCCCCTCGATCGCAAAGAGCGGGCATAAAGTGAAACAAAAGTACCGTCGCTCTCTTCGCTCTCCACTCTCACGCTTATCTGCACTCACTGAGTTATTATCTGTGTACTTGTTGCTGTTTTTGTTTTCATACGTTCGATTCCCAGACATTCGATTTGCTATGTGTGCGACTGTGTGCGTTTATTTGCGCTTTTAATTGACACAGTTTGAGCGCTTTGTAAAAAAAACAACGTTACTCAGTGCTCGACGCGACTTCGAAGGCGCCATGTGAGTGAAGTTCTGTGAAGCGCGTGGATAACTTTGTTTTGCTTCTATCATTTAATTTATTGGTTTTGTTTTGTTATACGATTCGTGCAATTTGATGTTGGCGTGGAGCGCACTACAAAGTACTGTAATTTTACTGCTGCTGCAGTACACAACAAGGTTGAATAGAAACAAACAGCTGGAAAATGTACTTTGAGACCAATTGGGTGTTTGTAAGTAAAAGCCGTATAACAAAAAACAAAATCAAAAAAGAAAATTATTTGCCCATTAATTGTGTTCTTGGAATGCAGTTAATTGGCTTAAGTCTTTGAGTTAAAGTAAGGTAGATGCAGCTCTTACTGTATTGTTGTAGTTTTTGTTATTATTGCCGCGCTATTAGAGCGAGCGATGCGCGTGTGTTAATCAGCAGCTGTTTATTGCGCTCTCCCGCTCTCTCTCTCTCCCGCTCTCTATTTCTGTGTGTTGCGCTCTCGCCTTTGCGGTAAATCGTATTTACGCTCGAAGTGCGTTCAAAGCGTTAACATGACTTGCACTCAATGCGGCTCTGCCGCTGCTGCTGCAGCTGCTGTCAGTCGTTGCGATCCATCAGTGGAAGCTGCACTTCATCAGCTATGCTAGCTTCTCTTTCAATTTTCCACTTTAACGACTCTGAAAGCAGCCGACAGCAGCTGAAACAGCAACAACAACGAAGAAGAAGAAGAAGCTGCTGCTGCGTTTTTGCTGCGAGAGGGAGAGAAGAAGTTGGCAAAAGTTGAGGTTTACCGTTATGCACGACCTGAGGCATTTGATGTGGATATTAAGTGGAGTTTACGTTAGTGCGTAAGTTTTATTGAGTTGTTGCCTTGTTGCCAAGTTGCCGCCTCCAATAGAAACTATGCGCAGAAACTAGGATATTCAGAGCAGCAGCCGCCGCCCGCTAAAACCACGCTACATTCCCCCCCCCCCTCCCGTTGCTAGGCAACTGTCAATCAGGCTGACAAATTGGCTGCTGATTTGCATTTGTTGTTGTTGTTGCTGTTCGTGCTGCTACTTGAGCCGCATGTGGAAGCAAACAGGTGAGCTAAAGATTACGCGCACTCAAGAATGTGATTTATCTGGAACAACCGTTAAGCTAATTGCACTTGCTACAAGTAGCTGCAAGTTCTTGCTCTCAAAAAGCTCTTCACGAAAATATAATAAGCTGAGAAGCGAGGCCACTTTGAAGATTTAACTAGAAGCAATTATATTTGCATGGACTGGCAGTGCAACTGCGTGCAGTTGTTAGCCTTTATATGAGCATTTATATGAACTTTAATTTTGATTAAACTATCTCCATATTGAGTTAGTCCAAATCAAAATTATCAACTTTTTATTGCGACTTTTGTCCGATCAACTGCTTGCAAGCAGTGCAACAACTTGCGCAGCTGCCAGCTTTTTGTCAGCTAGCCGCAATTCGTTAAACTTCGAATCTGATAGTCTGATTCCACTATGCTCAAAACATTTTACATTTCCAAACTTCACATTTTGCGGTTCCATTGGCAAGTGTCCGCTGTCGGTAACATGTGAGTGGCAAAAGAGCCGCTTCTTTAAATAAACAGCTGATCGGTTTAATTCGATTTACCTAAGCGACGCAAAGTTTTCCTCCAAAAGTCAATTATTCGGAGCAAATAGCAACATTTTTTTCAAATGTGAAAATATGTTTTCTTAAAGGCCAAAATTTACACATTCGCAAAAAAAAGTAAGAAATGTTGCAGATGGAATTAGGCTATGATGAAGCAATGTATATTTGATATTCTCTAATAATTGAATGTTTCAGTTTTAGTACCTAGCTTGACCTACATTCGTTATCTTATCAGGTGTTTATTTTGCCCCAAAAGTCTTAACTTTGATAAACCATTTTTGCAAATGTGAAAAATGTGTTTTCTTAAAGGCCACATTTTACACGTGACATTCGCAAAAAAATGTAAGAAATGTTGCAGATGGAATTAGGCTATGATGAAGCAATGTATATTTGATATTCTCCAATAATTGAATGCTTCAGTTTTAGTTTCTAGCTTGACCTACTTTCGTTATCTTATCAGGTGTTTATTTGTCCCAAAAGTCTTAACCGAATGTTCGATGTTTTCTGATATTGCGCAGCAAAAATGATGCAGTCGAGCAGCATTAATATGCATTGGCAGCCGGTGCACAGCCAGGATGGCCAATTTAATTGGCTGCACACCGTTATACAAGGCCAACCACACACACGAACACACACACACACGCACACACACACACAATCGCACTCGTGTGCATTTTCCAATTGCACATTTGCAGATTTTCAGCCCCATTGTTGTCGTCAATTTTTCGGCACGTGGCAAACAACTTTTGGTAATTGGTTTTAGCCAATTCGGTTAACCGATTCGACCAACTTCGAATTGACAGCAAACATCATTTATTTTAATGAGCCCGATTTACTATTATTGCCCAAATGAACCGTTAGGCCAGCTGTCAGTGCATCGCTTTTCCGGCCCAATATGAAAATTCGTCAAATTAATCGTAGCGTGAAAAATCAGTTGATTTTCTTTTTAATTTAAATTTAAATGTACCATTTGTTTGTTTGTTCTTCTTGGTTTTGTGCCCACTCGAAAAGTTTTTCTGCTTCCACTTTGATGCCTCGGGCACATAAAAATGTCAAAGCTTTTAGTTTAATGGGCCAACTTCTGGTGCGGGTGGGAAAGGGGAAGGGGAAGGGGGGGGGACTTTGCGGCCTTAAAAGATATTGTACTTCATTTTAAAATGGCGCCCGCGCGGCTAATGTGACCATAGTCTGTGAGTGTGTGGCCACATACTTTTGATAGCCGGCGGCAAGTATGTGAGAAATACCCTGTAACTGTGAGCGGTGTGGGGTCTATTTGTTATTGTGTTACCTGTGTAACAACTGAGGATGCATTTACTCCAGCTATGTAGGGTATATAGGTATATATAGAGTAAAATACCCTGTAACTGTTGGCTGCGTGGGGTCGATTTGTTGTTTGATATCGATTTGATATAATAATTAGAATACATTCTCTTATATAACATTTAGATGTAGATTTTGTGTTTTTTTCTATTTATAACCTAGAAATGTTTCTATTGACCATCAAGTCAGGCTACACCATTGCATATGCACATATGTCTACAGGGCATTCAGCTTATTGAATATGCTTCGATCTAGTTTATTCTCTGTAGATGTTGGCCCTGTGTAGATTTTGGCCATCAATTCAAATTGGTTTATGTGTTGTTCTCATTGTAAAACGAGCTGCTAAAATTAATAATTGTTGTGTTACAATTTAATTTATCACAAAATTGGGCTGAAATAAAATGTATTAAATTTGATTTTACCTGGACAATAAGCAGAATTTACGAATTTTAACTGAATTACAAATAATGTTTGACCTCAGCTATGCCATGTCACATATAAAATATATATATACTTATATTTATATATCACATTTAAATTCAATTCCTAATCATATTTGCGCTCCAATATTTGTTCAATTGTTTACAATTTGATGGAATTATAAATATTGCATTAGCTGCGGTTAATTTGTTTGCAATTTGCAAAATGTGGCACTTGCCACAGTTTGTGGCAGGTGGTAACTGTCAACTTATTTGCAGCAGTTAGTTACCTTGCGGCTGCCCGAAATCTCTGGCTCAGTTCGTTTTGTACGTGGCAAGAGTTGGCAATTGAAATTCCTACCAAAGAGCCTTGCAACTGCCACTGCAACTGGATGTGGCATGTGGCACTTGGACAAAACCACAGTCGCATTTCAACTGTGGCAATCAAATGCAAACTGGCTGGGGAGTGGGGAGGGGGGGGGGGGTGTTTTTTATAGACGTGGCTGGGTTAGGAAAGCGACACGCCCACTCAGTTAAAAGTTGGGGCAGCTAAACATGCAACATGTGCCGCACGACAAAAATGTTTGCGTGTGGGTAGACTGTGTGTGTGTGTGTGTGTGTGTGTTGTGCTATTTGTTTTTGCAGCTGTGTGGGTTGAGTGTCGACTTTTGTTGAATTTTGATACCCTGTAATCAATAAACAAGCAAGAGCACGTTGCACTCGACTGTGTAATTTGAAGGCTAAAAACAGTTGGAAAACAGTTTGCAGTTTGTAAAGATTTGAACGCCTTGTAGGGGGCGGACATGGGCGTGGCTCAGGTACTAGATGAGAACTGGCTAAAGAAGACTTGGCCAAATAGTTTCAAATATCTAAAAACGGACATGCAGATATTGCACAAAACCAAGAAAACCTTATTACAAAATGAAAGTAGGGTATAAAGCGACTTAGAGGAGGCGTGCAGGGTATCTAGCTGTCGGATTATCGCGCTAAAATCAACGTGCAAATTTAATTGCATACTTTTGGGCTAAACTTTTGGCTAACTTTATTCACGTATTGCTAACACAATTTGCTTAAAACGCTTTTAGCCAATTAAAACTCTTTAAATAATATTTAAATTGAAAAATAGTTAATGTAAATTTGAACTCTAGAGTTGCTTAAAAAACATTTCTATTATCTTAAAATTATGAAACAAGTCGCAAATACAATTCCTCCGGCAAAGTGGTTCTGGTAGTAAGTCAATCAACAAAATGCGTTTTCCCCTGAAAAAAAAAGAAAAACACAAAAAAAATATAATAAAATAAAATAGAGCGATTTACGTAGTTGACTAAAGAAATAAATGTAATTATATTTAAAGCTCTCGACTAATTCAAGAACAATAATATTTCTCTTCTATTTACAAATTTGCTTTGCACTCGACACGAAAATAACCAAAAAAAAAATAACAAAAAAAACACACACACAAAACATCCCAACTTCTTAATACTCTATAACAACAATTATGCTTAACTTATAAATTATTAAATTAAATTTGTATAAAAAAATAACACACACAATTGAAACTTCTTTTGAATACTTTTATATTAATTATTTTAATTTTTTTTACACATTTATGCCACACGAAAAAAAAATCTCAAAAAAATATGTGAAAAAACTATTTTCAAATTAAATGTTGCACCTTTGTGTGTGTGCGTGTGTGTGTGTGTGTGTGCACACAAAATACGACAAATACAACATGACATGAAAAAAAAAACACACACAACTTGTCAATCACGCATCAATCAAATCAAATCACGTATTCAAATCTGCATCAACTACAACGAAAACAAATAAACACGCGCAAATATTGTTGTTGTACTTGACAATATTGTGTCTCATAAAATGTTGAAAAAAAAACAAACAAAAAAACAAAAACATTAAAGATACCATGGGGACTGAAAAAAATCTGTTGGGGCCTGATAAATATAACTGTGCCCAGGGTAAGCTATATAACCACATATCAATATCAATTTCCAGTTAAACATTCTGATTGTTCAATTGTTTAATTATTGTTCGTTGCAATTGTTGTTGTTGCTCAATATTATTACTCTAGCTAATATTTATTTGCTTAACTCTAATTTGTCGCACATCAATCACAGATTTCACGTTTCCGTTCAGTTTGTAAATATTGTTTCAATTTTTTAACGTATGCATTATGTATATATATGTATATCTGTATAAAGTTGGTGTTGAGTAACTATTTTATTTCATATTACGCCTCATCCAAATTTCTGACTGATGAATTGTCTTCATTTTTGTTATCTTATCAATATTTTTACCTATTTTATGCTCTACAGTTATAAACTTTAATAAGTTACTCCCAATTATTTATTTAATTACTTTTAATAGGATTAAGTTAGAATTTTTGAAAATATATTCTTTTGAGATATTAGAAGGAGACTCAGATTCATATACTCTAGTAATTATATTGTCAAGTCATAAATTAAATTGAAATTGATTTATATATATATATATATATCTGTATAAAGTTAGTGTTGAGTAACTATTTTATTTTATATTACGAATGATGAATTGTTTTTATTTTCGTTTAACAATCTTTTCTTATCAATATTTTTACCCATTTTATGCTTAACTGTTATTTACTTAAATAAGTAACTTCCATTTATTTATTTATTTTTATTACTTTTAAAAGTAAAATTGAATTTGTTCAGTTTTTTAATATCTAAGAAGCCTAATGACAATATTTTTAAATATTAGAAGGAGACTCCAGTAATTAATTATATTGTCAAGTCATAAATTTAATTTAAATTTATTTATTCTAATACAATTTTTAGTCGTGTAATTATCGAATAGTTAATTACAGAATACATGGCCAGGGTTTTTTTGGTTTTGGTAGTGCATTCAATTATGGCCATATTAAACTTAATTGGGCCACATTCAGTGACAATAAAATAACAACATATTTCTCCTAATTAAATGCTCGGCTTTGATGGCGGCCTTTCTGGTCTGGTCGGGTCTTTGGCTTTGTCTTATCAATTTTGGCGTTAACTTGGTCAAGTGACAAGACAAGCAAATAATTGAATATTAATTAAATGCATTCGGCGCAGACACACGTTAATTATACTTACTAGGTGTGCATCTGTTTCAAATTTAAGCAAACACACACAAAATTTAAATGTGAACCTTGCGCTTCGTAATGGCATTAACTGGATCCAACCTGGCCAACGGGCACACACACACTCACACACACACAAGCCAAATTGATTTGTTGCAGTCGAGTGCGTTGCAGCTACACAGCGCCAAAATGCCAGAGAGCTAGAGCGTGAACAGCTAGAGATGAGCGCGTATCGTGACACGACTTAATCAACGCTATCAATTGCTTTCGTGTTTGGGCCAATGAGCATCTAATGAGAAATGCAAACATGAAAAATACATATATGTAGAGAGCATGCAAACATATCTGTATCAATGTAGACATTTAGCTAGAGCGTGAACAGCTAGAGATGAGCGCGTGTCGTGACACGACTTAATCAACGCTATCAATTGCTTTCGTGTTTGGGCCAATGAGCATCTAATGAGAAATGCAAACACGAAAAATACATATATGTAGAGAGCATGCAAACATATCTGTATCAATTTAGACATTTAGCTAGAGCGTGAACAGCTAGAGATGAGCGCGTGTCGTGACACGACTTAACGTGTTTGTGCTACAAACAAATCAATTTCTTTCGCATCCATTTAGCTAGGAAATAATCATTATAATAATTAAAAATTAAAATACCAATTCTTAAATCAATCTAAAGGCCAAAAATGATGTGTTTAAACGGGTGGAAAAGGAAAACTGACCAAAAAATGAAAATGTTTAATTATTTAAAATATTTAAATTAACAATTGAAATTAATTTATCATATAGTTTTTTAGTAAAAAGCACAAATAATATTTAATTTATTAATTAAATTGAGCGGCACCCGAATTTTCAATTAATTTGTTATATTTTTATTTTTATTTTTTTTTTCTAGTAAGAAGCATATTTATACGATAAACTCTAGCTGTTTTTTTTTTTTGAATAAACCCATTTCAATCACTTTGAACCTTCAGCTAGCTATGAATTTTCGCACTTATTACTCGACTATTTTTAGCCGTGTAACAAGCGAGCCTTATCTAATTTGAGCGCACGTAAATGCCTTTGCCATACAAAAAATCCCGCAGAGTGCATACTCCCCCCTCTCTCTCTGTCTCTCTCTGTCTCTCTCTCGCGCCGTGCAAATAGTACATTGTAAATAACTCGGGCTTTATCAAGAGATGACGCCTCTCATCATCTGCCTGTCCCGTTAGTTCAGCATCAGCTGCGTTTCAGTTGAGATTCGCGCGCCACGCTGCAAACACACACACACAAAAAAAACGAGAAAAGAAAAAACAAAAAGAACAACAGCAAAAATGCAACGGCACATAATTAGCGCGCATTAGTGAAAACCGAATGCGAGAAAAAGAACGAAAATAATAATAAGGTGGAAAGGCGCAAAAATGGTTATCGATTCGCCGCACGCGACGCACAAATATTTGCGACGCATCTCGCGAGATTTCTCCACAGTGCGTCGCTTTAGCAATACGCCAGCCGTTACCCTAACGGTACCCAGCACCGCCCCCGCCCCCGTCGCACTCGTTGGGCCCGAGGATTTGCCCAGCACGCCGCGCGGCATTCGGAAGCGTCAGCGTTTGCGGAAGCGCTCCTCCGTCTCATCGACACTATCGAAAGTTTTGATACTCAATGTGCGGGATTTGCTCAGAGCGCAGGCAAATAGCGAATCTACAGTCGAGGTACTTCAAATAGAACCGGCCAGCCAACTGGCAATAGTCGGCAGTCAATAGTCAACATTCCAGCCACTAATCACAGCGCGACTTCAGCTGTTAGCCAGCTTTAACAGTCCTAAACTGTTTTTTGTGTATACCCTGTAGACATTGAAAATTGACAGGGTATATATATTCTTGATCAAGTATGTATCATTCGAATACTCTAAACAAATAATGCTCAAAATTGATATATTTATCGATTATAAGCTACTCTTAGCAATTGCAGGTATACAGGGTATTACAAGATTCACTTTTGGGATAACTCTGCCCATTTGCCCCAAAACAAATTATTATTATTATTATTAGAGATTTTGAGGCTTAGCGAAGAAATAGCACATAGGATTGTATTTGCTACAGGGTATTTCCTAGTCGGGCAACTAGATTTTCTTCCATTTTTGTGCCAACTGTTGCATTTGCTACAAGTTTGAGAGGCTCGTGATTCCAGATTGGAGTCTGCGAATAGTTTTTGCTATTTACCCCCGCCAGTTTTTCCACTTGAGTTTTTCCTATTTTCTTTTCACTTTTCACTTTTCACTTTTGTATTTTGTTCGTTCTTTGCAACTATTTTGCATGGCTTTTGCCGCAGTTTGCGTAGTCTTGATTTGATATGCCAATCCTATTGGATTATCTGTATATAAATTGTTCTTTTGACTACTTTTGCAATATACGTGATAAAAGTATGTTATAATAAAAATATTATTATTTATATTATATATTTTGAAAATTTCCTTTTTTTATTGCAACAAATTAAGCAACTTTAAGAAATGTAAATATAAATGCAGCTATAATTTGTAAATTTTATGAACTATTGCAATTTATTCAAGCTTAATTTTTTTATTTTTTTGTATTCTTTATCAATAATATTATTTATTTAGTGATTAACTTACTTTCTATTATTTGCTAATTGTTAATGATTATTTTCCATGTTGTATAGCTATTTTCTACAAAACTCTCTCACTTCGCACTTGGCCCAAAGGCACTTCTAGCTGTATATATATATATCTGTATATAAACATATATATAATTAATATATGAACCAGCAACAGCATTTAGCCTCCAAAATTGATGAACTACATTTGAATGTAATTCTCAAGTCTCTGCAATTCAAACTAGAAATTTTGATTTAAGATACTCTTTTATTTTGGGTTTCAACTCGAACTGTATTTTAGGTGCATTCAAAACTGAAGAAAAAGAAAATAATAATAATATTTTTAATATGTTTAATGTGCTATAAAAAGCAATGTTGTTTTGTTCTGTTGACTGAACTAATGAACGAACTTTTGCTCTCTCTTTGTTAACTTTTCCTCTTTTTTTTTCTATTTCGATTCGAATGCGAATTTTTTATAGCATCAGCCGCGCAGTTGGATCGAGACAAACTTTCAGAAACGCGAGTGCATCAAATTCATACCATGCCCAAAGGACGATACAAAGTAAGTGTCAAAAGCTCGCTAAATCTGAAATTGCAATTCATTTAGTAATTAAGCCCCCCCCCCCCCTTGCCCACCAACTGCTGCTCTAAGCATCCATTCTTGGCCTGAAACTTTTGACCCAGTTGCGCGTATCAAAAAGCCCGTTCGATGCACCGAGGCGCAATGTATTTGAACCAGTTTTGTGTATTTAGTTAAATTTTTGGCGTTGGCATTTTATTGTTTATTATTATGGCTGGCAGTTAACCCAGCCCCTGCCCCTGCCCACCTTCCATCCCACCAAGATGCGCTCCCTAACCAATTGAGATAAATGCGTTATATAAGCTTGGCTGTCTGCCTGTCGCTGCTGCTGCTTCCTCTTCTCATTTGGGTGAAAGTTTTGTTCAGTTACGTACAGTGTGCACAGTTTATGATGGCTTTATGGCTTCGCCCGACTGACGTTCTTTATCAGACTTTAGCTGACTGCTCAAATATTTGGCAGCGCTTTTAACCCACAATCAGCAGCTTTTTTGTGCCTGGCAGACGTCCACCCCTTAGCTGCCCCCACCCCCACCTCCATTTAATTGTTGGCGCTGACAATTGTTGGCTAACATTCCCCCGACAATCCACAATCCAATGCCAACAGATGCCCACTTACCTCTCCTTGTAGAGCTGGCAAAATAAATTACGCTATTTACACATGCTTCTAAATTGTTATACGCGCCTGTGTGTGTGTGTGTGTGTGTGTGTGTGTGTGCGAGGCATTATTCATGGCTTAGCGTGCCTCAAATGGCTCGATTCGTAGGCTGGCAACACGTGTTGCATGTGCCACACACAAATGTGTAGATTTATTTGATGCAAACAGCAGCGCCACATGAGGCAGAGAAAGATGTAGGATGTAGACTAAACAGAGTATATAGATATGGACTTAACAGTATATAAAGAGTATATCAAGTATATGAAATATCGAGGGTATTAAGTGGGTTAATGCTTATGAAAGCTAGAATCTTCCATTATGACTATGATAGATAGTTTCCACAAGTTTGTTGCATCTACGCTCAGCTCTAAATAAAGATAAACTCATGTAAAAACACATTTATGTAATCAAAGCAAGAGTATTATTATTTTGACATATTTTTAAACATATAATCAAAGATAGAGTATTTTAAGTTGGTCATGCTTTGATCTGAAGAATACAAATTGGATGTGTAAATAAATATAAAATCTTTATGGACTATTAAGTGTCCTTTGGCATATTGAGGAGTAAAAAAGTGCTTTTAAGAAATGTTGCATCAGTTTACATTTAACATGCCCCACTTCAAACATTTCTCCAGGTAAAATACCTGGCAGGTATTCTGTATTCTATGAGCTGCAATTGATTTATTCATTAGGCATTTGTTGCTGAGCGATGCATATGGCTGATGCGTGGCTTCTATTAGTTAGTTGTAATTGAAATTTATTATTCAACAGGGCCAAAACTTTTGAGAGGGAGAGAGGGAGAGAGAGGGAGAGAGAGGGAGAGAAAGAGACATAAGCAAACAGACAGTCAGACGAGCTGGCAACTTGTCTTTGCCAGAGCTATTGTTATAGCCAAAGACACACACACACACACACACACACAGCCAGGCAGACAGACAAATGTGACAGCTTTTGCGTATGAATAAACAACAACAGCTGAGCTGAGCAGAGCGGCAACAGGAACAACAGGCCATCCCCCACAGAAGAGCCGCACATGCATAAATAACGGTTTATTTTACACGTGAGGCTTGCCATAACGTTCACGTTGCGAGTGTGTATTGGTGTGTATCTGTGTGTATCTGTGTGTATCTGTGTGTCGGGGCGTGTTCTGCCTCGTGTTGACAATGAATCAACGTGCTCAAAAAGAAATGTCGCCACGCGACTAATACGACGGCGTACCTGGCGTATACTCAACGTGGCGTATTAACAACATTTTTTTTTGTGCGCTCTTCTCTTCCTTTGATAGATGCTGCTGCGGCCAGGCACAGATAACGCATCAGACGATAGCCGGCATCGAGAGCGGCTCGCCGGGCGATCTCTGGCTGCCCACAAAGCATACACGCCCCCAGCCCACCGATGCGTATGGCACTATTGAATTTCAGGGCGGGGCGCATCCCACCAAGGCGCAGGTGAGTAAACGGCATATACATATTTAGACAGTAAGTGCCCTGTCGAGTCTCTCGAGGCGCTGGCACTTCGACTTCGCTTGACTTTGGCCAATAACTTTGCAACTAACACACACACACACTCACACCTGTGTATATATGTTACCTGTAGTATGTGCGGCTGTCATTCGATACGCGACCCGAGCTGCTGGTGCAGCTATTCACCAAGGAATGGAATCTGGAATTGCCAAAACTTTTGATCACCGTGCAGGGCGGCAAGGCCAACTTTGATTTGCAGGCAAAACTCAAAAAGGTAAGCGCCAGCAAAAACTTTTCCAATGTGTCCTCCGCCGTTCACACGCTAATTGAATGGACTTGAACTTGGGCCCAAATATATATTTTTGGATTTCTCGCAGGAGATACGCAAAGGACTGCTGAAGGCGGCCAAAACAACGGGCGCCTGGATATTCACCGGCGGCACCAACACGGGCAAGTTCTTCAAATTTTCACTTTTCATTTCACGACAATTTCTATTAAAGACAAGTTGAATAAAAGTTAAATAAGCCACGACTTCAACTTGGCCAGTCACTTGAAAATTAAATAAATAAAATCCCAAGCGGAAATCGCGCAGCCAACTGATGATTGCACACACACACTTTCTCCACTTTCTACCAACAACTGAGCGACACCTGATACCCTAACAAAAGACGGGCTTTAAGCAATTGCCAAGGCTCTTGGCGACATTAAACGCAACTCTAACTGTATTGCATATCAAATTATTTCAAAGAGATTCCATTTCAGTGCGATAAGAGGTTTTGCCAGCTCGCAGTTATAAATATCGCATTATCAAGCTAGTAATGTGTTACATAATCAAAGGAAGCGCAGCATATACCCTTTCTCATGCTATAAGATATAGATAGAAGTGCGATGTAGCTGACATTTTGCTTATTGTTGAGAATTCAGTTATATATAAAGAGAGAGATTATCACAGCTTGCTGCTTTAAAGGTTTAAAAAGAGAAGAACTGTTGTTAGGGTATATTAAGTTCGTCGTGCCCTTGCCTAGACTATAAGATATAGTTAGAAGTGCGTTGTAGATGAGATTTAGCTTATTGCTTAAAGCTGAAAGATTAACTAGAATATATTTAAAGAGACAGATAATCACAGTTGGCTGCTTGCAAGATTAACAAAGAGAAGAACTGCTGTTAGAGTATATTAAAGTCGTCGTGCCGCATACAAATTGGAAGCTAAACTACATACCCTTACTTATACAATAAGATATAGATGGATGTAGCTGACATTTTGCTTATTGTTTACAGCTGAGAGATTAACTAGAATATATTTAAAGAGACAGATAATCACAGTTGGCTGCTTGCAAGATTAACAAAGAGAAGAACTGCTGTTAGAGTATATTAAAGTCGTCGTGCCGCATACAAATTGGAAGCTAAACTACATACCCTTACTTATACAATAAGATATAGATGGATGTAGCTGACATTTTGCTTGGTGCTTAAAGCTGACAATTTAGTTATATATAAAGAGACAGATAATCGCAGCTAGCTTACAAAGCTTTATAGCTTAAGCTTTAAGAACTGTTGTTAGGGTATATTAAAGTCGTCGTGTCGCGCACACAAACTCTCTGCTCAATATTGTCCTTTTTGTCGGTTTTCTTTTGTGCTGTGGAGCTGTTATTAAATTTTCGACACGCTCAGGCCCCGAACTCCCAACTCCCAGCTATCACACCCGCACTTACAAACATATAGAAAATGTATATATATATATTTATATAGGAAAAATAAAACTAAAGTCAAAGTCAAGGTACTTGAGTTACAAAAAATGACCAAAAAAAAAAGGACAACACAAAAACTTATTTATTTTGTACATTTTGTTGTGGTTGTGTCCCCCTCCTCTTCTTCTTCTTCTTCTTCTTCCTCTAGTTGTTCTTATTTGTTGTTGTTGTCTACTTTTGCAGGCGTGACGAAGCAGGTGGGCGACGCTTTGCTCCTGGAGGGGCAACAGCGGACGGGACGCGTGGTCAGCATCGGCATCGCACCGTGGGGCATTGTGGAGCGCAATCACGAGCTGTTGGGCCACAATCGTGAGGTGCCCTGCCACAGTATTAGCTCGCCGAGGTAACGAGAGCAGCTTTTAATGCATATTTGATAGGGCCGCAAGTCCCATTAAAGGTTGCGGCACCTGTTGCCGCCACTTAAATATTGATGGACGTCATCTGCTTTTATTCGCAATAATATTTGTATGCATTTGTCTTCTTTACGTGTTTTTTTTCAGATCGAAATTGGCCGTTCTGAACAATCGGCATGCGTATTTCCTGCTCGTCGACAATGGCACTCAGGCCAAATACGGCGCCGAATTGATATTGCGCCGCAAACTGGAGAAATTTATCTCGAATTTAAAGCTGCATCCATGTAAGTTCCACGAGGCAATCAGTTTAGTTGGCTTCCAGCACAGAATTGTGGCAAAGATTAATATGCTTTGAGGCGCTCACACACAGATTCCATAGAAAGCTAAGCATTGTGCACAGCTCAGCTTTATGTTACATTCATTGCCATTGTTTGTGAACTGAAATTGCAGCCAGTCGGCGCCTTTAATCTGATTTCGGCTTGCAATGACAACAGTTGAAAGTGCCACAAAAGGCCACAGGACTTATCCTGTCGAACATGTTAAACTGGCTAAAAGCTGTCTGAGCCGGAAAGCTTTAATGTGCTTTTGACGTTTTTTAAGCTTATGATAAATGGCGAGATGACGCACAGAATAGTAGAAAACTGTAGACTGTTGGAAACTTTAATGTGCTTTTCAAGTTATTTTTTGTAGAAAGGGAAAAGCTTAAAGTACATTAATCTTAAGAATAGGTGGAAGAGAGCGAGAGAGAGAGAGAGATAGACTAGAATATGTTAAAAAAATCAACAAAAGTTCTGCTCGAAGCTTAAAGCTTTAATTTGCTTTCAAAGTTGCTTCCGCAGCGAGTAACATTTAATTTTATTTTATTGATTAAATTGGACAGAAAAGTAACAAACTGTAGACTGTTAGAAGCTTTAATGTGCTTTTAAAGGGCAAAAGCTTACAGTACACTAAAGTTTAGAATAGGTTGAAGAGACCGAGAAAGAGACAGTCGAATAGTTTTAAAAATTAAACCAAAGTTCTGCTCGAAGCTTTTAAGCTTTAATGTGCTTTTAAAGTTGCTTCCGCAGCGAGTAAAAAAATCGAATTAAATTTAATTTTATTGATTAAATTGGACAGAAAAGTAGCAAACTGTAGACTGTTAGAAACTTTAATGTGCTTTTAAAGTTTTTTCTTTTTAAGGGCAAAAGCTTACAGTACACTAAAGTTTAGCATGGGTGGAAGAGACCGAGATAGAGACAGTCGAATAGTTTTAAAACTTAAACAAACGTTCTGTTCGAAGCTTAAAGCTTTAATGTGCTTTCAAAGTTGCTTTCACAGTGAGTAAAAAAAAATCGTTTTAAATTTGATTTAACAAGTCGTCACAGAACTTGGCATACGCATACCTTGGCACAGTTTAAAGTGGAGATCTGCTTTTGTTATAACTTTCAGCTAGTGTCATTAGGTTTGCCAAGGCCTTGAAAGTTGCATTTGTGTTTGCGTTCAACTGTGCTGCCTGTGAAAATACGAGTGCGTTCCTGTGGCCTTTCGTTGTTTATTATCATTATTATTATCATTATTATTATTATAACTCTTGTGATTGAAGGCGGCAGTTGTGCAATGCATAAATCAAGCTTAGGTCAGGTCGGGTCAGCTGAGCTGAGCTCAGGTGTGCTTAGCTCCGAGTTGCACCTTTTGTTTAATCTTTAGCATTATTTGTTATTTTCTCTGGTCTCTCGTTGCAGTCACACATTCCAGTACGCCCGTCGTCTGTCTGGTGATTGAGGGCGGCACAAACACAATACGTGCCGTACTCGAATACGTGACGGACTCGCCGCCCGTTCCGGTTGTCGTTTGCGATGGTTCCGGCCGTGCCGCCGATCTGCTGGCCTTCGTGCACAAGTAAGTTTTTCGGGACTGATTGCCAGCCGAGACGCAATTAATAAGCCAGCCGCAATTGCTGTAAATTTAATCAGGCTTCCTTCCGTTCCCCTTCCCGTTTCCCTTCCCGTTGCCTCTCGGGTCCTTTCGTATTTTATTTGCGGTGCTGATATTGTTATTAGTGGCTGCTGCTGCTGCTGGCTTCGAGTTCATTAAGTACACGACATTTAGCAAATTGCATATTTAAATACGGCAGCAAGACAAAATGTAGGCCACAATATAACGTATACGCCGCGTAGCCCCATTTTCTATTTTGTTTTAGCAAAACTTTTTGGACTCCTTTTATTATTATTTACCTAACAATTTGCTGCCTCCCTTTGCACTGCTCCATTTAATTTAATGTGTTTAATTAGACGCCGCAATTGCGGCAGCAACAGCCGACCTTTAATTGAATATGTAACTTTGTCGTTAACCTTTTTTTTCGTAGGTATGCGTCCGATGGCGAGGAGCAACCTGTGCTGGAGTCCATGCGTGAGTATCTCATTGGCACCATACAGAAAACCTTTGAAGTTGGCGTCGATCAGGCCGAGAAACTTTACCAGGAGCTGCTCCAGTGCACGCGCAACAAGAATTTGGTAAGTTGCAGGTCAAGTCTTAATGCATGTTAAGCATTTGTATACCCTGTAAAAATCGTGATATATGATAAGAAGACATGACAAGATATGGAAAAGGAAGTTAAAAGTTTCTGCTATCTATCTATATATTTAATTAATGTACTCGACTATATCTAATAAAAAAGTCAAGTATACGAACAGCTATTTATAATTATATATATATATTTATTTTTATTTTTATATATATCAAAATACATTAAGCCTTCTTCTGGCTGTTACATTCGTGTACACAAAACCAACATACCCCTTTGTCCACTTTCAATAGTTATAGGGTATAAAAAGCTGGAATTCTTGTTACACATAACATATTTAACTATTTGCATATTTATATGCATACCATTAATAAATATTCATGCTACATATGTTCTCTTCTTCATTCCTTCTACCTGGAAATATACCTGGCAATTTGTACGTATTTGGCAAATGCCTTGGCAACGCAAGATTTCTGTTCAGCTTATGGGGCTGACACAAGCAAGAGATACAAAATATTTACATAGATATTTAAAGGTCTCCCTTTGTATTAAATGACTGTGCAGTTAAATGTGCTCATTGAAGCATTATTAAGTTTAATATATTAAACAAAGTTTAGTTAGTTTAAACAAACAAAAATGATTAATTACATTGCAAAGCCTTCGAATCGAGCACTCTGGCAATTAAAAGCGCATAAAAGGGTGGGGAGAGAGGGGAGGGAGAGAAAACATTACCTTGAGCTTTAAATTTGTGCTAAACTTTTCAATCACTTAAGACCTAAGACTAAATATTTAATTAGTCGAGTGAAAAAGGGAGTTGAACCTGAATTAAGTGCAAAAATAATTAGCCAAACGAAATTCAATTGAACGTGTAATGAATTTGAAATCAACGTCGCGCTTAAATTTCCCTATTCAGCTATTTGTGGACCTAGAGAATTTTGATGAATTCGCCGAAGTTATTAAGATTTTAATTGGTTTTCAAATAGCCGCCACGCCCCAGCCACGCCCACGCATTTAGCATTACCCGCGGCTGCTTTTTATGATGTTTTTCTTGTTTTTCTTCCACACGCAGATTACGGTGTTCCGCATACAGGAAAAGCCCGAGGGCGAGGCACAGGAGCTGGATCAGACGATACTCACGGCACTCTTCAAATCACAGCATCTCAGTCCGCCGGAGCAGCTGAGCCTGGCGCTGACATGGAATCGCGTGGACATCGCGCGCAGCGAGATATTTGTCTATGGCCAGGAATGGCCCAATGGTAAATATACACTGGAATATATATTTGGCATTTATTCAGTCTGTGCATAATTTGCAATATAATTTTTTTTGGCCGCAGGCGCTTTGGACGAGGCCATGATGCAGGCACTCGAACATGATCGAATCGACTTTGTCAAATTACTTTTGGAGAACGGCGTCTCGATGAAGAAATTTTTAACAATTCCCCGCCTCGAGGAGCTCTACAACACAAAGCACGGCCCGGCCAATACCTTGGGGTGCGTTTCCATTTTGGGGCCACAATATTTTTTTTTTGGTCAGCAAATTGTTTGCCTACGAAAATGCCAACTCCCATGCATTGCTCAATTTTATTTTATTTTGTTCCTTTTCATTTCAAATTCCAGCTACATATTGCGCGATGTCCGCCCGCATATACCGAAGGGCTACATCTACACGCTCCACGACATTGGCCTGGTCATCAATAAACTAATGGGCGGCGCCTATCGGTGAGTAGCGACTAAATATACCCTATTAACTTGGTCTAAATTGACTGACCTGTCGCTGAAGACATTACTTGAACTCTAGATAAATACTGCACCTTTCTTTCTGTTGAGTCTGGGATTGTTGCTATGCTTTCGTTTAAAGTTCTTCATTCAGCGCGTACAGGGTATTTGTTAGTCGAACAATCTAATGTTAATATTTGATTTCAATATGCCAAAATTAACCGGTTTACCTTTGAGCTGTCGCTGAAGACATTTTATGAAACTCTAGATTAATTCTGTTGAGTCTGGCATTGTTGCTTAGCTTAAGTGCTTACAGGGTATTTGTTAGTCGTACAATCTAATTTAAATATTTGATGAGTGTTATCATAACCGAAAGTTAAACACTCTAGGCATGAGTTAAAGCTCATTAAATCAAGCGTCTCGAGTAATTGTAGCCAAAACATTTGGAGAGACAAAGTTTTATGCGGGCTGAAATTTCAGAAATACTCGTAAATTGAGGGGGGAAATCAACCAAAAAGGTCGTGTGACAAACTTAATAAAGTTAAAGTTATAATGATCATCTTTCGGGCCAAGTACATATAAAACGCTCGACAATTAAACGTGAAGGCAACAACAAAATGAGCCGAGTCTCAGAATCCTTTTGGGCTGGACTCGAGGAGTGGCAGGAGTCCAGGGAGATTCAGGGAGATTCAGGGGCAGGAGCCAGGTCCGCTGCAAATTAGTTTATCACTGCTTTCTCAGTTTATGTCTGTGTTTTTAATACCCATTAAAATTGCGGCCAGTGCGCCGTGCATCGTGGGTGGGCGTGTCCATGTCATGGCCGGACGCCCTTAACTTGTTGCCGGATTAAATTTGACGAGCTCCCCAAACGTTCGCCAAATTTGTTTATGAAAATGTGTAATAAGTTTGCATAACTTGCCGGCTGTCTCTCAACTACTGACAAAAGGCGGGAAAAAGTGTAAAAAAATCAAATAAAATAAAAGGCAAGTCAAAGTTAAAGAAAGGGAGAAAAGTGAAAAGCAGCCGCCATAATTATTCCTCATTAACATTTTGGGCGACGAGGCGCAAAATGCTGCGGCTTAAATTTAGTTAACGCGGCTTTTGCGGTCGCTTTGTGTGTGAATTTAATATATTTTAAAGTGCCCCCTTTTTTGACGCTCTTCCGGTTGGGGTAACACGAATACGTTGTGCGTTCTGCATTGAGCTTTTTATTGAGATATTACTTTTCGTTCCTTTATCGATTAAATCGAATTCTGCTTTTCATTTGAAACTAAATTCAATTTGGTTTTAATTAAACTAGGAACATAACTAAATGGAATTTAATAAAAAGGGTATTTAATTTTCGGCCATTTGTGTTAACTTTTTTGTCCTTTGTACTCATTTTGCTTGAGGTTTCAATAGGCAGCCAAAGCATGGCAAATGTATCAATCAAGTAATTTAATTAAAAGCCAAAAGATACTTGTTCAAGCTTTTCTAAGGGACCGCAAAAAAACGAAACGAAATCGAGCCCAAAGTTAAGGGTTGCGCATTTTCAAGCTTTAGTTGTGAAGTTTCTATTTAAAGTACAAATTAATTTTGATTTTGTGTTAAATAAATACTAAATTAAATAAATAAGTTGCCTGCTTGGGGCATATTTTTGTAGCCTCTTGGCATTTGGCTTGGCTGTGAGATAAACTACTCAATTTAACACTAGCCTGGCGCCTCTTTTGTCCTTTGGCTTTTGTGCTGTTAATCAAAGGTCGTCAGTTATCTGACAAATGCCCATCTAAATGCTGTTCAGTCTCTCAACTCTCAACTCTGAACTGAAAAACTGGCATCGAAACTGTTGTTTAGATTAAATTACGGTTCCTGTTTTGGCCTTTTCTCGCTTGGCTGCCCAGGGCTACCCAAATACCTATGGGCCGTGTGTGTGTGTGTGTGAGTGTGTGTGTATCTGTTTGCCATTGAGTTCAGCTGCTGTTGGCACTCGAAAGCATTGTCTAGACATTTGACAGCAGCAGCAATAGGCAGGCATCTATCAAAAAGTTGGCCTACAAAAAGAGCTGCCAATTTGTGCGTAATTAAAAGCGTTTAAGTTTTTCATTTTCATTTGAATTGATTTTCCAATCGTCGCACGTTTATGCCCCATAAATTATTTACGGCAACAACAATTTTTTTTTTTTATGCCCGCTTTAATTGTTTGGCCGTAAAACGGCAGCTGCGCTTAAAGAGCTACCAAAAACAAACAATATTAAAGCAACAAAAAAGAGCTCAAATAAATGCTCAGTAATTTTCATTTTCAAGCATAACCAAGAGCTCATTCGTTCGTAACTTTATATGCCTGGCAATTTATTTGCTTTTGTTTTAATATTTCCCTTTTTCAAATTTCAAATTATATGTTGGTCGACGTTGACGATTCGAACTGAAAAGCCAAACAAGGCCAAACAAAGATGTCATTAGGCGTGTCATTTGCTTTCAATACAGCCAAAATATCCTTTAACAAAGTAAATAGACTGTAAATAGAGAAAGATACAGTTGCAAATGTAGATACACAATTGGAAAACAAACGCAATTACTATTTGTGAGTTTTGGGCCAGGATAGGAATCACTTAAGCCGCCAACGCCTGGCAAGGGCTGGCTGGCAAACAAAGGGATAAGCGCCAAGAACACCCCGCCCATAACCAGAACCCGCCCAGTCGCTGACAAAGAGCATGCTAAACGTAATGCGAATGCAGGCAGAGCTTAGCAAATAAAAAATAAACAACACTCTCGAGTCGGGAGTTCCCAACTAGGGGATACCCTGAACCCGAATCACGTTTTCTTTAATAAGTTCTGTGTTTCTTAACCGATCTTGATAAAACTTTCAACAGTAGATCTTGTTGTGCTATAGAGTATTTTTATATGCTCAAAATGTCAATTGCATTTAAATTGTGGCTTAATTAGATAGGCAATACAAGTTGGCTTACTAACATGATTTATAGCTTTGTGGTGGTGGCGATAGGTATAAAATGAAAGATACTTGATATATATATACTATTCTAGAAGATATAATGTCAAGTTTAGGGACTGTAGCTCTTATTATTTACCAAAGTTGCTCAAAAATCAGGATTTCGATATCGATTTCTATCGATAACTTGAAAACGGGGCGAGTTATCGAATATCGGAAACTAACTCGTACTGTGCGGGCACTAGGAGGATCTAAGTTTAACATTTCAAGTCTCTAGATCTTATAGGTTCTGAGATCCTTGCGTTCATACATACGTGGCTAGATTGATTTGGCTTGTGATGCTGATCAAGTATATATATACTTTATGCTTCCTGCCTGTTACATACATGTGCACAAAAACATGATACCCTTTTTAACCATTTTCAATGGGTTCCGGGTATAAAAATAATACCAACAAACAAACAAACAAACAAATCCAAAAAGGAAAGCGCAAAGAGAGACATTTTTGTACGGATATTATTATTATTATATTCTCGATGTCTCTCTGGCCAAATATATTTGGCTGAAATGCAAATTTGGCAGCTGAAAAATGACTTTACTTTGAGAAGAAACGCAATTGAGGGCTATTTATTTCTTTGCAGATCCTATTATACGCGTCGCAAGTTTCGGCCCATCTATGCGAAGGTGATGAACAGCTATGCAAATGCCTGCCGCAAATCCTCCTCGTATCAATATCAGCGCTATGCGGGCGCCAATTCCTTGAGCCTGGTCACCGGACTGCTGCCATTTACCACCGAAATGGCCCTCTTCGAGTTCCCATTCAATGAGCTGCTGGTGCGTGTACACCGAATGTCAATTTCAGGCCAATTTTGTGGACTATTTTGTTTGGCCTTTTTCCACAGATCTGGGCCGTGCTCACGAAGCGGCAGCAAATGGCGCTGCTCATGTGGACGCACGGCGAGGAGGCGCTGGCCAAATCCTTGGTCGCCTGCAAGCTGTACAAGGCGATGGCCCATGAGGCCGCCGAGGATGATTTGGATACCGAAATCTACGAGGAGCTGCGCTCCTATGCCAAAGAGTTTGAGAGCAAGGGTAAGTGCAGTGCCAATCCCCCCCCCCCGCCTCCACCTCACGTTCCGCATAAATTGGACAGTTAATTGGGGTTAAGCTTTTCATTTAATTAACCTGTTGCCCCACACTTTGTGTCAATCACGCCCAACTAATTAACGAGCCGCCTGACTCTGGCGGTTGACTAATTGCCTTTTGTCTATTGTCTTTGGTCTTGTTGTATTGTGGGGCAGGCAACAAGCTGTTGGACTTTAGCTATCGCCAGGACGCGGAAAAGGCTCAACGTTTGCTCACCTGCGAGCTGCACTCGTGGTCCAATCAGAGCTGCCTCTCGCTGGCCGTCGCCGCCAATCATCGCGCCCTGCTCGCCCATCCCTGCAGCCAGGTCATACTGGCCGATCTCTGGATGGGCGGATTGCGTACCCGCAAGAATACCAATTTTAAGGTGAGTATTAGAAAAAATAAGTTCTTTTTTAAGGATTTTTGTTAATATTTTTAACAGTTAATCAACATTTTTGTTGGTATTTTATATTTTAAGAATTTTTGTTAATGATTTTAACAGTTTACCTACTTTTTTTGCGAGATAGTATTTTTATTAGCGTTTCTCATTGCTTTTCAGTATTTTTGATATTTTATATTTTAAGAATTTGAAACAGTTTATCCAAATTTGTTTTGGGATAGTATTTTTAGTAGCTTTTCTCATTGCTTTTCAGTATTTTTGTTATTTTAGTATTTTTAACATTTTGTCTAAATTTTTTTTTGTGGAATAGTATTTTTATTAGCTTTCCTTATCGCTCTTCAGTATTTTTGATATTTTATATTTTAAGAATTATTTTTTAGTATTTTTAACAGTTTATCTACATTTGTTTGGGGATAGTATTTTTATTAGCTTTCCTTATCGCTCTTCAGTATTTTTGATATTTTTTATTTTAAGAATTTCTATTAATATTTTTAACAGTTTATCTACATTTTTTGGGGAGGTAGTATTTTTACTGGCTTTTCTCATTTCAGTATTTATGATATTTTATACTTTTTTGAACATTTTTTTAAAAGTATTTTTAACAGTTTATCTGCATTTTTTGGGAAGTAGTATTTTCAGTAGCTTTTATCATTGCTTTTCAGTATTTTTGATATTTTATATTTCTAAACATTTTCGTTTAGTATTTTTAATTTTTTATTTTAATTATCTACATTTATTTGGGGGATAGTATTTTTATAAGCTTTCCTTATCGCTCTTCAGTATTTTTGATAGTTTTTATTTTAAGAATTTTTACTAATATTTTTAACAGTTTGTCTACATTTTTGTTGGGGGTGTAGTATTTTTATTAGCTTGTCTTATCGCTCTTCAGTATTTTTGATATTTTTATGGATCTATTCAATTACAGGTAATTTTAGGCCTGATAATGCCATTATACATAAGGCAATTGGACTTCAAATCCAAAGAGGAGCTACAACAAATGCCACAGACCGAGGAGGAGCATTTGGAGAATCAGAATTTGGACAACGATGATTCCGATCGATCACAGCCCGATGCTGAGGTAAGTTCCACATTTGCCAAATGTTGTTGTATTTGTTTAATTTGTAACCAATGTTTTTTTTATTCGTTAAAAAGCCTTTATTTGTTTGAATTTGAGTTTGTGTTTTTTATTAATTTCTTTTTTTTTTCTGTTAACAATATGCGTGCCAGTTCTTAAATTATATTAATTTAAATTTCAGCTAAGCTAAATACTAAACAATTAATTACTCCTATTAACAGATACAAATTAATTACTCTTATTATCAAATATTTATAACTATATATCGTGCTGTCATACCTAACGAAATGCCCTACCAAAACCATCTACCCGCTCTGTTTGTTTTAGAACGCCCTTTTAAAAGCCAAAAGATCCATTTCCTTGAGATATAGGATGGGCGCGGGCAGTAATAATCGCGACAAGGTAGTAAAAATCAACAGATAAAAAACACAAACCAAAAAAAATAAATACAAAATACCAACATTATTTCAAGCATTTCCTGTTCAAGACTCTATGTCTATATATCTATACTATATATAAATACTATATATGTTTTTTCGACGTATTTGTTATTTCATGTATTTGCTGTCGAATCGTCTGTCGGTCTGTTTCTCTCTCTCTCTCTCTCTCTCACTCTCTTTCTATTTCTCTCTGTTTAACTCTGTTCGTGTATTGTGTATTCTATGTACTCTGTCTATATAAACTATGTTTTCTCGTACATTACTTAAATTTATGGCATCTAATTTGTAACGCATTATGTGTTTAGTTGGTTTTTATTGATTTCTGTGCCCAGTCCAACTTAATCTCGCCATTCGTGGGTTATTTTTAGTCAGGCCTTAGGAATCGTTCGCCTTAAGCTAATAGCAAACGTGTCCCTGCCCGTTTGAAGTTTCCTTCTGCTTTAGGTTAGATTTCTTAAGGATTTAACTGTGGAATAATTTACTTGATTTATGTTAACTATAGAGTATACCCAGTAATTATATAACAATATTAGGGTATACAGTCTAACCTACATATTTATATAACTGTCTGCTCTTAAAGCACCACGAAATTATAACAGTATAACAGTTAAAAAGTATGAAGTATTAAAATGTAACCCTTTAGCCGTAGATAAGCATCCGACAATTATAACAGTATAAGTATTAGTTGAACTGTATAAAAGTATAACAAATTTAACCCTTTAGCAGTAGATAAGCATCAGAAAATTATAACAGTATAACAATATATATAAGTTTATCTGTATAAAAGTATTAAACTTTAATACTCTCGCAGTAGATTAGCACACAAGCTAATTACTGAGTATAACAGTAAAATATATGTATAACTGTATAACAGTTTTCCATTACAGACGTGTAACGCTCTTTAGGTATATACGAAATATCGTGCAGTTGCTCTATCTACACATATTCATCTAACTTACGCAGTCTCCTCCCTCTCTCTCCCTCTCTTTCTCTGCTCTCTCTCCCTCTCTCTCTCTTTTATAACACATTTAATCGGCGATAATTCGCCTGAAAAGTGCAAATTAATACCAATTGAAAAGCAATCGCCATCATTTCACAGTCCTGCTAACTCGACAGATGTAAGTTCTTAGCGCAGAGCCACGCCCCCTTGTAACGCCCATTTGCAATATGTACTATTTTGAGAAAAGTAACAAACAAATATTTGCCCGTTCGGGCTAAAAAATATTAAGTGCGAATAACCATTAGCAGACTTAGCAGAGAATCCTTTGTGGCCGTGGCCAGTGTCCCATGGCTTAAGGCTTAATTTAAAGTTCAATTAAGTAATAACCGTTACGAGCACAAGCACACACACCACACACCACACACCACACACACACACACACACGGCTATTAACAATGCATATGTATGTGTGCGAACTGCTATAGATATGTCAAGCTGTTTGCCTTTATGTTGTGCTCGCAGCTCTCTCGAGCGCAAGCTCTGCAGTTGTTCAAATATTGTTTTTCACTTACACACAAGCACACACACACAAGCACACACACAAGCACACACACACATGGGAGCATTCTATGACAGCAGCTGAAAATCCTTTAATCAGAAAATCAAATTAAAATCCATTGAACTTGTGCGCGCACAGCAATAAAGTTGTTAGGCTAATCACATCGAGTGTTGCCATTGATTAAAATTTAATACGTATTCCCTCCCACCGCGCTAAAGGGTATTCCGTGTCGAGGTTACTTTGTAGTTAGTACAACCACACACAATTTGTGGCCTGCATCTGAATTTTGTTTTTTTCAAATTTCATTTCCGTTTTGGGTTTTATTTTGAATTATAAATGTCACAAACACACACAAATATCTTTGAAATTTTAAATTTTCCATTACATCTGCTCGTACAACTTGTAGCATTTACTGCATTTAATAGAAAGCAAATCGTAAATCGTAAATTGTTATCTTTTATAAATAAATATAAATATATATACATATATACATATATGCGAAACGTGTGCCCCTTCCCCTTCAACCCGTTGCAGGCTCTATTGGCGGATACTTATTCGGTGCGCGATACAAAAGTACACGAAAATGGCAAAGTGAGTAAATTCACAACTACCCACGAATACACCCACACTCACACACAGACACTCAGTTATATTCATTCATTTCATTTGTGGAACCTTTTTAATTGAATGCGCTCAAAATATATATTTATATATTTATTCCCACAAAAAACTTACTTTTCGTATACATTTTTACTTGTGTGACCAACATGTACTACGTCTAGCACATAATTGAATATGTACTTAAATTAAGATGAATTATAACAGTTATTCAATATATACATATATATACATAATAGAACACATTGTATGACATGCGCCGTTACGCATACGTCCCGTAGTCCAAACGTCAAAAAATCCCTGGTAACCTGAGCAAGTGCTGTCCCAAAGCATTCGACTAACAACATGCGATTAACTGAAACATTAACTTTAATTATAATTTTTGTTTGATTTTTAGTTAAATCACATTCACCTGCATTCAATTTGTTTTACCTGCTCAGCAACAAGTACTCGTTCGAATTTTACAGGTTAATCTCACAGCTGGAGCGGAAGAAGCACCCTCCAAAGTTAGTCTTGAATACCCCTACTTTAACCAGTAGTCAATTTAACTTACCTTTAACTTTCCTTTCGATCAATCACATCAAGTCAATTCGATTTGCTTACGTATAGTATATATCATTTGCATCAAAGTAGTTGATTAATTAAGAGAACTTTTAGTGCATGTTCCTTACGCTGGCTTACAATTAATTGGCGCGTAAATAAATTAGAAATCAAACACTGCACACGCAATTTTAATTAGTTAGTTAACTCAATTTTACTAAACATACATATATATATTATACCATATCCTATGTAGATAGTTTCACGCGCGCCAAACTCTGCGTATACGCAATATCGTTGCATATACGCCGTGTGCACATGTACATATACATATGTTACATACATACATGCATATTTTATCTGTCACGCAATTTTCTATTCTCTAATGTTGATAATTGAATTCAACTCAATTTGAAACTAACTTCACATGCATTCCACTCGCTGCGCCCTGAACTCGGCGACAAGCTAAAGTTTATATATATATTCGCTTTTTTTTCTGTATAACTTTGATGGCATTTTTTCGGGTCACAGGTCTCGCTGACAGACTCGGATCCATCGCAGTTTCGCGAGTTCTTTCACCTGTCCGAATTCAGCAACGAGATTAAACAGCATCAGCCGCTGCGCCTGAAGAAGAAGTTCTACGAATTTTATACGGCGCCCATTACCAAATTCTGGGCCGATTCGGTAAGTAAAGACTTTTTCTTCTTTTTTAATTATTAGCTTACCGGAAATTAGCAGCTAGTGCTTAATTTCCGCTCACGCTCTCGCAATTGACAGCCCTCTAATGCTAACTTATGTGGATAAGTGTATTTCTCATTTAATACCCTGTACCTGAAAAAAAGATGTAGAAAGAGTATGTTGAGGGTGTACAAAAGTATGTAACATATCTTTTCTATCAGGCTAGACATGTCTGTCTGACATTAATAAGGCGACATTCTCAGAGAATTAAGAATTGGAGTATTTGAAAATAAAAGTTATTAATTACAGCTTCCGCAATATTTGGCTGCTTGCATCACCTAGTCGAGCATTGTTTGCTTTTCTTCCATTTTTATACCCTGAACCCATTAAAAATTGTTAAAAAGGGTATAATGTATTTGTGCAAATGTATGTAACAGGCAGAAGCAAGCATCTCCGACCCCATAAAGTATATATACTCTTGATCAGCATCAACAGACGAGTCGATCAAGCCATGTACGTCCGTCCGTCCGTCCGTCCGTCTGTCCGTCCGTCTGTCTGTCCGTCTGTATGAACGCAAGGATCTCAGAAACTATAAGAGCTAGAGACTTGAAATTTTAGCTGTAGGTCCTCCTAGTCCCCGCGCAGATCGAGGTTGTTTCTGATATCCGATAACTTGCCCCGTTTCCAAGTAATCGATAAAAATCGATATCGGAATCCTATTTTTTGAGCAATTTCGGCAAATAATAAGAGCCGAAATGTAGCTTCTAGAAAAGTATATACTATATATCAAGTATCTTTCATTTTATACCTATCGCCTGTTGGAAGAAGAGAGAGTATCCCCTAGTCGGGAGCTAGCCCGACTAGAACCTCTTACTTGTTAATGTAATTATATTTGGTATATTTATATTTGTTATTTCCTTCAGATTGCGTACATGTTCTTTCTGATAATGTTCTCGTTCACGGTGCTGGTGAAAATGGGTCCCATGCCCCGCTGGCAGGAATGGTATTCGATAGCCTACATAACGACATTGGGCTTTGAGAAGGTGCGCGAAATCATATCCTCCGAGCCGGTGGCCATTACGTAAGTAGTTCACAAATTGAATTCAACTCGAGTCTGTGCTTAATTGCATTTAATTTAATGATTATAAATGAGTGCCACATTGGCGCATACTTTATGCCTCTGTGCATTTTGATTACTTGCCTTCTGCCTGTCGGATATCCTCCTGTGTGCTCCTTCAGAGTTTATTCACACTTGATTTACGGCCTTTCGATTTCTGTTGGAGCGCCCTTCATTAATGCGATTCTGTTGCGGTCTTCTCTCCATGCCAGGCACAAATTCTCGGTGTGGGCATGGAACATGTGGAATCCCTGCGATGGCGCTGCCATAATACTCTTTCTTATCGGCCTCTCCTTTCGCTTTCGCCCCAATACCATGGACATTGGGCGGGTCATCTACTGCGTGGACAGCATCTACTGGTATCTGCGCATATTGAACATTCTCGGCGTCAACAAGTACCTCGGTAAGTTGTCATCCCCCTATCCATATACATATAGATCTATATATATAAGTCTATATGCTACAGGTCCGTTGGTCACCATGATGGGCAAAATGGTTAAGAATATGATATATTTCGTGGTGCTCTTGGCTGTGGTCCTCATGAGTTTCGGCGTCAGTCGCCAGGCCATACTCTATCCCAACAACGAGCCCACCTGGCGGCTAATCAGAGAGGTAAGCACAGCTAGCAAATATATATAACACACATTTGTTACTGTGTACGTGTGTGTGTGTGCGTGTGTGACTAATTAATGCCGGTGAAAAAAATTCAAGTACCCTTGCAGAATATATTATATGAGCAATATATCTGTGAACCGATAAAAGATAATATATATTCTTGATCAACATTTTGCATTCGTCTGTTTTAATTCCAACAAGTAGATCAACCTAAAAGTTTTCTTGACCAAACTTGACATAGATTTTTCTATTAATTCCTGTCTATGAATTTCTATGCCAAAACTAGACGAATCGTCTGACTATATCATATTGTTCCTATAGCTCCTTATTTTTATGAAAAAAAAACAACATTTTGTATTCAATTTTTTTGTCCGACCAAACCAAGTTACAAGTTTTACTATACCGTCTAAATTTTGGCTAAAACCTAAGAATAAAGGTGAATTATATCGTATTTTAGATCGGTTTCTCTCAGTGTACACCTGTCCGCGGTCTGCAAGGGTATCATAAGTCTCGGCAGGCCGAAAGAAACTTGTACTTTTACGTTGATTAAAAACATGTACTATATGCAATTTTACAGTCGTGTAAATAATAATTCTGTAGCTCAAACAAAAAAAGCTGCTCATTTCTTGTGCTGATTAATTGTGCCTGTGTGTGTGTGTGTGTGTGTGTGTGTGCGCGCGCGTGTGTGTGTGTGTCTTTAACAAATATTAACATTTATGTACGTATATATATGGACAATTCCCATTGCAGCGCTTGAATTGTGTATTTTTGAAAGAAACGGAGTACATGCATTTACTTTCATAAAAAAGAAGCAAGCAAAACGTTTTTTAAAACTCATTTAACTTGTAGCTAAATACTCGCATTTAATTAGTATTCGAAGCGAGCTATATATAGTTATATATTTTAGTTATACAATTTTTGGTTTTCTACTAAGTAGTTCTCATGCTCATTTACGTGAAAGATACTCGATACTCGCTACTCGCTACTCGATACTCCGATACTCAATTGACTAACTGCTATTTTCTCCATTGTGTCTTGTATTGTATTTTTCCATCTTTTGTTCTTTGGCGCGACATTCGAACTCGAAAAAAAACAACGCACTTTTCTTTATTCACCTACTCACTATTCACCGACTCACTATTCACCGACTCACTATTCACCGACTCACTATTCACTATTCACTTGTAAACCATTCACACCATTTCGATTCGCATTCGCATTGATTTTGTACTTGCCAATGACATGGCCAGGTTATCGCCGGCTCAATCGTAGCGCCCGGATTTCAAGGGGCTCTCGGCCATAAAAGTCGTTCCCACAATACGCGTCTCTCGGGCTTCGGATCCAACGCATTCGCTGCACACTATCGCAACCAAGCAACATCAGCATCAGCAGCAGCAGCGGCAGCAGCAGCGGCAGCAGCGGCAGCGGCAGCAACAACAACAACAACAACAACAAGTACTACAACGATGCCGCCCACTGTGACACATAATCCCGAACTGCTGCCCAGTTTTTTGAGCGGAAATCTCACAAATGTACAACAACAAAATTGGTTTGCTATTTAGAAAAGAAAAGAAAAGAAAAACATGTGTGTAGCATTGATCCTAGCTGACGTCCCTGCTGTGTGTGTGTGACATATATATGATATGATATATGGCAAGCTGTCTATATATAGTTGTCGTTGTTGTTGTTGTGCCTCAAACATTTTCGTTTATTGTGCAAATCAATTATCAATTTCTTGCTTATATTTCCTTATATATCGATGTTGTTGCAAGTAACTCCCCGATAAAACCCCAATTGACTCTCTTTGATCTCTCTCTCTCTCTCACTCTCTCTCTCCTGTCTACTCTCTTACTGCCAACGCGTTGGTTTTCTTGGCTCTCCAAAGAGAGAGTCTTATATCGTTTCCTGCTCGCAGACTACGTTGTCTTTATCCCTTCTCTATTCTTTTATATCATATGCTCATTTAATTTATAGTACTTTATTAATTAATTATAGTGCATGTTTGGCAATTATTCTATAGCTAAACTCAAGTACTTGCATCTGAGAAGTAAATGTGTGTACTCAGTTTCCAGTTGTTTGGCAAATATGCTCGCATATTTATTAATCATTTCTCTCATTAAGTTTCGATTCCATTTCGAGATCTTTTCGTAATACTTATTAATTAATATTAATACCAAGATATATATTAATTTTTGCATGCGAATTACTTTCGCTGTTTACACAATCTCACAAACGCCGCGCTCTCCCCTCCCCCCTCCCCCTCAGTCAAGCAAGCCGAGAAGCCAGCAGCCAGCAACCAGGCTGCTGTAATAATACTTTTGTGATACACTGTAAACACTTTTCGCAGCAATTTGCATGCAATATGCAAATGTTGAACGCACTCAAAGTGCATTTGGCTTAAATATTGTCCTGACGCAGCTTAAATGCGTTTTTATTCCGCTGAAAATGTGCCTGGGTCTAGGCCAAAGGAATTTTTAATAGTTTAATCTGCATTCAAATCGATGGAAATCGTTTGGCACAAGATCAAGATACAGACACAGGTGGGAGAAGGAAGATAAATATATAAATCCATTAAATGGAAATCGATTGAAATAAGGTAAAGAAAGTGCGGTGGATAGAGAACATAAATCATTTGGATAGGAATAATATATATATAAAGACAAAGATAGAAAAGGAATTTAGGATAGGAATAAGAAATAAAAAGAGAAAGATAGAAAAGGAATTAAGGAAAGGAATAAGAAATGTAAAGACAAAGATAGAAAAGGAATTTGGGATAGGAATAATAAATATAGAGACAAAGAAAGAAAAGGAATTTAGGATAGGAATAAGAAATATAAAGACAAAGACAGACAAGGAACTTCAGATAAATCCTGTTTAAGATTTTAATAGGAATCAGTATCTTCCCATTGAGATACATTTTCCTTACTTTGCCTTATTAATGAAAATTCGAATCTCTGCTGCGAAAATAGATTGAAGGCTGTGTAATTTAAATTTCAATTAATTGACGGGCGGGCATCTGTGTATTTTGTAAATACCAAACTGTCTACGCTTAATTAGTTGAAATCTATCACAAATGCCCCCCCTCTCTCCCCTCCCCCCCTCTCTCTCCCCTCATTAACCCGGCAAATGCTAATGAAATGGCGGCCAGGCATTTAATGAACTCAACTAACTACAGTAGCATGCTGGCAGAACTAAAACAAAATGCTCAGTCAACAAACACACACAAACAGAAACACACACACCAACACACACACACACACTTACATATACATATATATTAACCCATAGCAACTATCTGTGTCGATGTGTAAAACTTGCATTAGTGTTGACCCCGTCGGGGAGAGATGTCGGTTTAAGCCCGAAATTGAATTAAGCTTAACCATTTTTTTGTTGCTGCCCAGCAGCTGGCTGCGTTTCTTGTGCTCTTGATTTTTTTAATTACAAAAGTTTTGTTTGTCAATCAATTGTTGCACAGGTCACCTATCAGCCGTACTTCATGCTGTACGGCGAGGTCTTTGCCGACGACATCGATCCGCCCTGCGGCGAGGATCCGCGTCAGCCCGCCTGCGTTACAGGTGAGTACGCCTTCCCATATACTATATATGTAAACTGTATTTGTAAAGTTAATGGAATTTTGCAGGGCATTGGGTGACGCCTATAACGATGTCCATGTACCTGTTGATTGCCAACATACTGTTAATCAATCTGCTCATTGCCGTTTTCAATAATATATTCAATGAGGTCAATTCGGTTTCGCACCAGGTGAGTTCATTGATTGTGTTACCTGATTAATTGTGCAAAGAACTCAACTGATTAGTTTGAAGACTTTAAGCCAGCTTGACTTTAGACTTTGGATTGAAATACCTGAAGCATGCTTTTAATATTGATATTAATATTCATTTTTATTTGTATTTCGCTGCAGGTCTGGATGTTCCAGCGCTTCACAGTCGTCATGGAGTACCAGCAGAAGCCGGTGCTGCCGCCGCCTTTCATCGCCTTCTGCCATTTCTATTCGCTGCTCAAGTATTGCGTGCGCAAAGCGAAAGGTGAGCCCGGCATGAGCAAGTTTAGCTTTGTTCCCTGTGAGTCTAACAACCAGAGCGTGCGCTCCCTTGTCGACCCCTCGAACGAGAATAATGTACAAATCTCTATATCTCTTTTCTGCTGCCGCATCGCTGCATCTCGTCGTCGTCCAATTGTGTCCAATTGTGATTTCAATATATATTTGCGTATTGTTCACATCTGTTGTGTATTCTTCTGCTTATAATTCTGTTTGGCATTCGGATTAATTGAATTGTTTGCCTCTTTTTTTGTCAATAGGATTGGAGGTGCAGCGGGACAATGGCCTCAAGCTGTTTCTCGAAAAGGACGATCTGGAGCGGCTGTACGACTTCGAGGAGGAGTGCGTCGAGGGCTTCTTCCATGAACAGGAAATCATATTGAATCAGTCGACCGACGAGCGCGTCAAGAACACAACGGAGCGCGTCGAGACCATGTCACAGAAAATCGAGGACATCAATCAAAAGGAGAACATACAAACAGCCACCGTGCAGGTGTGTACACCCACACACACACACACTCAATGCTAGTCCACTTTTTAGTTTTTTGTTATGCAAATGCACAATTTTCTTTTTGGCACATTGATTTGGGTTTTATGCGCAGTGGCAGCAGGAGCGGCAGCAACTGCAGCTCAAATTGAAAATGTCCATAAATGTCGAGTAATACGAGGGTTGCCTTTTTAAATTGTCGGCCCAATTAAAATGTCTTTTTGTTTTTATACCCTGAACCCATTAAAAATGGGTAAAAAGGCAGAAGGAAGCATCTCTGAACTCAAAAAGTATAAATATTCTTGATCAGCATCAATAGCCGAGGTAGGTAGCTGTAGGTCCTCCTTTCCCCGTTTCCAAGTAATCGATAAAAATCGATATCGAAATCTTGTTTTTCGAGCAATTTTGGAAAATAATAAGAGCTAGAGTCACCAAACTGGACATGTAGCTTCTAGAATAGTATATATATATATCAAGTACCTTTCATTTTATACCTATATATTATAGCTATAAATTAAGTAAAAAACCTATTTATGCTGCCCACCAATATAAGCCACAGTTAAATGCAATTGACCTTTTGAGAATATACAAATATTCTATAGCACAATAAGATCTACTGTTGAAAATTTTATCAAGATCGGTTAAGAAACACAGAAGTTATTAAAGAAATCGTGATTTGGCTGGATCGCGTAGCTGCATTTGATGTTGGTTCAGGAACTCCCGACTAGAACCTCATACTTGTTCTAAAATGTTCTCCACACGACAGCTGGATATATTTATTTCTAGCCAACTTTAGCACCTTTGATCCTCATGAATACAAATGATGATAACTTCCATGTGTAATCCTCTCCTCATCGAAAAATCCTATTGCATAGAAATGGTCGATTAGATCTATTAAATCACAACAAATAGAAGGGCAACCCTCGCAGTTGCTCATTTGTATGCTGCTTGGAAATGTGGCTTAAAGTTGTTTGGTTTTTATTGCAATTGTGAGACATTGTTGTCATTCTGTATGTTGCAGAACATTGAATTCCGTTTGCGCAAAATGGAGGAATCATCGGAGCAAATACTGTCGCACCTGGGCGTCATACATCGCTTCATGTCCGCACATACCGCTGGCAACGAGGAGCTGCGCGGCTCCGTCATGAACATTCCGGGTGAAATGCATCGCATGCGCACCATCTCCATGTCCGACAATGAGGCTGGCAGCGCCAGCGGAGGCGGAGGCGGCGGAGGAGGAGGCGGTGGTCCAGGAGGAGGCGTGGGTCTGGGACCGACGCTTACTTTAAATTCGCTGCAGGTGCGTTGCGGCTGAATGAGTGTGTTTTATTTTCAACCTTTAACCTGTTGTTGGTTCTTTCTTTTCCCACCAAAGGTGAACAATCGACGTCGCTTCAATCGTTCGCTGACCGAGGTGCGACCGGACGCGTACATCTTGGATGAGGGCACACACTTTGAGGTGGTGCCGCTGCCCGAGGAACCGGACGAGGTGGTCAAGTCCCGTGAGGCTCTCAACGAGCAGGTGGTGCGCAAGGCATCGATGCAATCGGAGCCCGACTCCGATCTATATTTGCCATTGTCTCAGCGCCCGTCCACCTGTGAGACGGTCAAACGGACGCCGTATGTGACGGTGCGCCAGGATACGGGCGCCAGCACCGAGAGCAAGGACACCCTAACCCCGATGGGCACCATGGATGACGATCAGACCCTTGTCGGCGGCGACAATTCCGATGATGCCGCCCCGGACATGAACTTTGAGGGTAATCCGAATTGCCTTAAGCAAACGCCTGGCAACTAATCCACTTCCGCTTACGCTTCCAACGTTACGTTAATTTTTCACTACTGTTTCTTCTGTTTTGAGTTCTGTTTGTGTTTCTGTTCCGCCAGCCTAAGTGTGTTTTATATAACTAGAAAACCAATATTCTTCCCGCCTTCTTCGCATACAGCTGCCAGGCATCGGGCGCTGCGCCAGCGCACCGTCTCGCTCTGTCGCCGCAACTCGGAGACGTATTCGTTGACCGCCGCGGACATCAATCGCTCGCACATCAGCCTCAATCAGCTGACGACGCTCTCACGCCGCCAGCTCAGTCTCACCCAGTCCGAGCCGGACAGCGACAAGGACGTGCCCCCAGTGCCACAGACGGGTAAGTTTCCTCTGTGCCGTGCCGCAAACGTAGACAATAAGCGTTTAGAGTATAGTGCAGCAGCTGCAAGTAAATGCGCTTCAAAATTCTGCTAACCAAACCCAAATCATGGCAACCCCTAACCCCAAACCTAACTAAACCGTAACCTTAATCCGACCAAACCAAGCTACCAAATTGGCCACATATTTAGCCCTAACCAGACCATATAATAATATTGTTGTTGTCGTTGTTGTTGTTGTTGTTGTTGATGTCGTACTACATATACAGTGAAAGCTCTTTAGCGCGAACTGACAGTTTCTCTTTATCAATAGTTGTCCGATTTCCATAAGGATTTGGGCATATCTTCGCATATAATTCCTAAATTGGGATGAAATATTTTATGACAAACAAACAAGTTGTTTTGCTTTCCATCGATACTTCCGTATGATATAGTGATGATATATAAACGAGAAAGAAGGGCTATCTTCGCACGCCGAAGATATAATACCCTTGCAGATCCAACCTTTTCATAAAGCTTATAATGCTTTCCCCCTATCTCGTCTAAGAAGCACACGGAAAATAGTATGGTGTAGATTTATTGAAAAAAAAAGAATATTTTCCGAACAGCAACTTGATTTTCGACCGATCGTTTCTATGGCAGCTATATGATAAAGTGGTCCGATGTAAATAAGATTTAACATAAATATAGGGAACATAGTGAAACTTATAAATGCCGAGTTTGGTGAAGATATCCTGATGAACAAAAAAGTTTTTCATACAAGAACCTACTTTACGACCGATCGTTCCTATGGCAGCTATATGATAAAGTTGTTCGATGTAAATAAGATTTTACTTAAATAGAGGGAACATAGTGAAACTTATAAATAACGAGTTTGGTTAAGATATCCTGGTAAACAAAAAAGTTTTTCATACAAGAACCTACTTTACGACCGATCGTTCCTATGGCAGCTAAACGATAAAGTGGTCCGATGTAAATAAGATTTTACATATATATAGGGAACATAGTGAAACTTATAAATGCCGAGTTTGGTTAAGATATCCCGATAAACAAAAAAGTTTTTCATACAAGAACCTACTTTACGACCGATCGTTCCTATGGCAGTTAACGATATAGTCCGACTCTGCCAGGGTATAAAAACGGATATATAAAAAGTTTCATTGGAATAGAGAAGAAAGACGCATGGCATATCGGCTGATTTATAGTATATATAACCTGTCCATATATGTCCCTTTCAAATAAACTGCAACTTTCGCATGTAAACTGTCCGTTTAGTAGAGCTTTCACTGTACTCGTCTCTAGTTTACTCTCGCCACACACACACATTCTCTTTCTTTCTCTCTCTCTCTCCCTCTCTCTGTCTGTCTAATTTGATCTCTGACGCATTCTCAACCTAACCTCGAACTTTAGGTAAATCAGTTTTGCATGCGAAACCGTCGAGAAATATATTGCTGAAACTGCACAGTGAATATACATCGATAACGGACGAACTGGAGAACGTCTGCCATTTGATTGCCTCGCCGACCGTCTCGCTGCAGAGCAACAAAGGTAAGTTGGCGTTGCTCCCATTCCCAGCCACCCCCATCCAACCGTATCTATCAAATTTAAATCGGAATCGGAAACTGAGACTCCAAATTGTAATCTGTGTTTAGCTAACCGGGCGTATGCGTAATATTCATTTGCCTTCTGCTTGCCGCCAAACCAAACCCAACCAAACCCAACCAAACCTGCGCCTGCCTTCATTCTTTATACTTTTGACTGCTGCCAATTAATTTGTATGATTCGAATATTCACAGCCTCCTTGGATCGGCCCAAGACGGAAATGTCGCGCGCCGAAGCCGCTGCGCTGCAGGAGAAGAAGCATCTGAAGGAATGCGAAGAGAATGATTATAGAATACTCGAGGGTCTCTTCGAGGCACGCGGCTCCATCGATGCCAGCGTCCAGGCCTATGAGGTAAGCCCTAAACCCTCTCTCTATCTATCATAAGATAAGCTCTTATATCTGTGATCCTCCCCAGATTGGCGTCTCTGTGGACTATAGCCATCGGTATCCGCTGCGCCGGGAGACGGCCATTGAGCTGTCGCCCTCTAAGCCCGCCGCCGAGGGCGGACCAATTGGCGGAGCCACAAACGGCGACAGCAGCGATACCAGCGGCGCGGGCAGCAGTCATCATGCGGCGATTAGCGGCTTTCAGCTGAAGCACGAGCGGCCCTGGCAGCGCAATTCGTCCATGGAGCAGCAGGCCTACCAGTCGCCGCTGGTGCCGACGCGGGCCACCAGCGATTTCCTGAATGCGCCCTACGACAGCAGCGGGCGGCTGTTTAAGAAGTCCAGCGAGAGCTTGCAGAAGAACTCCAGCACGGACACAGACTACTCGGCGCATCCGTATCGCTTCATCAAGCAGAGCTCGAATGAGACAAACACCTCGCTAACCGGCTCCTACAACGTGGACACGCCCTCGTTGACGGCGGAGCCATCCCTCGATGCCGGCGATTCGCACTCGGCGACGGGCATCAGCATGAGCGTTGGCCCTGCTGGCGGCGCTGCGACGGCGCGTTACCAGCCAAAGCGCACCGCGTCCGTTGGCGCTGCCGATGGCAGACGCTTGCGCGACGACAGCTCCAGTTCCCTGGACCTGAGCGCGGCGCCAGTAATGACGCAGGCAGCGCCAGCAGTGCCAACGCGTTCCATGCAGCTGAAGAAACAGTTTAGCATGGACCAGGGCAAGCCGCTAGCGCCGCCGATCAGCGCCGAGACAGCGGAGGCAGCGATCGGTGCCGGAATCTCGACAGCTGCAGTCGCCGGCGTTGCGTTGCCCGTGCAGGTTGGCGCCAAACTGATTTCAACGCTGAAGCCGCCGTACACCAGCAGGCTGGGCATGAATGTGCTCAAGGAGAGCAGCTCCAGCACAGAGGAGTCGCGCGACGGCGAGCCCAACTCCACGACCTCCTCCTCCGCCAAGAGCAGCAATGTGGGGCTGTCCATTCCACAGATCAGCACTCACCTGGTGCAAGACGAGATTGCCAAGCTGTCCTCGAACATCAAGAGCAGCCAAACCAGTACCGAATCGGAAAAGGATCCGCCGTATAACGAAACCATGTGTTAACCACCTATGTAAATATATAGACATATATACATATATATACATGTTATATGTGTGTGTGTGTATGTATGTGTACCCGTTACTAAATGTATCTGTATCTGCATCTGTATCTGTATCTGTAAGTGTTAGTGTATCTGTTAGATGTACGAGTAAGTGAATCCACCTTGTGCTCAAAAGCGTTGGTAGTCAACGAAAAAACAATTACAATATTGCGGATTATTCCATACAAATATATATATATATATCCGATTCATGTCAAAAGATAGAGCGCATATCAAGTATATAAATATATATTTACGTTTGCCCTGGTGGAATGCAACGCAAATTAAATTTTTGACAATACATAGCACACAGATTCCTCTGTATTTTTATAAAATGTATTTATTTACAAGTTGTCCGTTTTTATTGTTGTTAATTAATATACAAAACAAAACGAAAAAAAACAAAGAACAGCAAAGAGAAACATTGACACAAATAACAAATCAAAATTCATATTATATACATGTATATCTGTTTTTACCACTCTTCAGCATACATAAATGTCGTATACTCTATCTAACTGTTATCAAGTATAACCAAATGTTTACAATGTCTAGTTATAGTTACCGAAACATATGAAATGTCACTTGCAATTTCACATATCCTACAACAAACTACAAACTTATCAAAGAAGCAAACACTAGAACTCAAAACAAAATCTATATATAGTTATAAAACTTAAAGCAAAACTTATTGTACTTACGCATTGCCTATATAAGTATCTGTACTGTTATGTATGTAAACGCGTTGATTACCCAACTAATTGATATACATTATCTGTTTGTATCTGTATGTGTGCTAATACTAAGTTAGTTAGTCCATTTTACTTATTTATATGTGTGTGTGTCCGCAACTGTATGCATGTTTAGCTAATTAGTCTAGTTGAAAACAATTTGTATATACATACTACATAGAAAGATATTTTTTCAAAAACAAAACCAACCCAACCAAATCTTGTTAACCTTCTGCTTCGTGTTAAATGCGTTGTTTATTATTAGTTGGTAATATTATTGCATTTTATTAGTGTTAAAAAAAATGAAAACAATGTACTTATTGATTTTAAGAAAATAAATTTAATTATGTATCCATACATCCAACCATTCGAAAATCGAAACTTTTTTGATGATTTTTATTGAATATCTCGGGTAAATGCTGTCCGATTATGAAATGTTAAACCTTTTTGAATTCGTAGGGATCCCTACTATCAATCTGCATTCAAACATTTTAAAAATCGATGGGTTAAAAAAAGTGGTTGACCAAAAACCGATTCGTTTGTAAAATCAACCTTTTTTGATGATTTTTTGTAATATCTCGGCCAAATACTGTCCGATTTGGGAATTGTATACCATTTTGGACTCGTAAGGATCAGTACTATCGATTGGCATCAAAAAAATAAAAATCTAAATTTTGACCAAAATCATCAAAATGGCAAGGGGTTACATCACGTTTTTTATCAAATTCGGTGTCGGTTCGAAAATTAAAACTATTTTGATTATTTTTATTGAATATGTCGGGTAAATATTGTCCGATTTTGAAATGTTATACCTTTTTGAATTCGTAGGGATCCCTACTATCAATCTGCGTTCAAACATTTTAAAAATCGATGGGTTAAAAACAGTGGTTGACCAAAAACCGATTCGTTTGTAAAGTCAACCTTTTTTGTTGATTTTTTTTAATATCTCAGCCAAATAGTGTTCGATTTGGGAATTGTATACCATTTTGGACTCGCAAGGATCAGTACTATCGATTGGCATCATTAAACTAAAAATCTAATTTTTGACCAAAATCATCAAAATGGCAAGGGGTTACATCACGTTTTTTATCAAATTCGGGGTCGGTTCGAAAATCTAAACTTTTTTGATGGTTTTTATTGAATATCTCGGGTAAATGCTGTCCGATTTTGAAATGTTATACCTTTTTGAATTCGTAGGGATCCCTACTATCAATCTGCATTTAAACATTTTAAAAATCGATGGGTTAAAAAAGTGGTTGACCAAAAACCGATTCGTTTGTAAAATCAACCTTTTTTGATGATTTTTTGTAATATCTCGGCCAAATACTGTCCGATTTGGGAATTGTATACCATTTTGGACTCGTAAGGATCAGTACTATCGATTGGCATCAAAAATATGAAAATCTAATTTTTGACCAAAATCATCAAAATGGCAAGGGGTTACATCACGTTTTTTATCAAATTCGGTGTCGGTTCGAAAATCTAAACTTTTTTGATTATTTTTATTGAATATCTCGGGTAAATGCTGTCCGATTTTGAAATGTTATACCTTTTTAAATTCGTAGGGATCCCTACTATCAATCTGCATTCAAACATTTTAAAAATCGATGGGTGAAAAACCGTGGTTGACCAAAAACCGATTCGTTTGTAAAGTCAACCTTTTTTGATGATTTTTTGTAATATCTCGGCCAAATACTGTCCGATTTGGGAATTTTATACCATTTTGGACTCGTAAGGATCAGTACTATCGATTGGCATCAAAAAAAATAAAAATCTAAATTTTGACCAAAATCATCAAAATGGCAAGGGGTTACATCACGTTTTTTATCAAATTCGGGGTCGGTTCGAAAATCTAAACTTTTTTGATGATTTTTATTGAATATCTCGGGTAAATGCTGTCCGATTTTGAAATGTTATACCTTTTTGAATTCGTAGGGATCCCTACTATCAATCTGCATTCAAACATTTTAAAAATCGATGGGTGAAAAACCGTGGTTGACCAAAAACCGATTCGTTTGTAAAGTCAACCTTTTTTGATGATTTTTTGTAATATCTCGGCCAAATACTGTCCGATTTGGGAATTTTATACCATTTTGGACTCGTAAGGATCAGTACTATCGATTGGCATCAAAAAAATAAAAATCTAATTTTTGACCAAAATCATCAAAATGGCAAGGGGTTACATCACGTTTTTTATCAAATTCGGGGTCGGTTCGAAAATCTAAACTTTTTTGATGATTTTTATTGAATATCTCGAGTAAATGCTGTCCGATTTTGAAATGTTATACATTTTTGAATTCGTAGGGATCCCTACTATCAATCTGCATTCAAACATTTTAAAAATCGATGGGTTAAAAAAAGTGGTTGACCAAAAACCGATTCGTTTGTAAAGTCAACCTATTTTGATGATTTTTTGGAATATCTCGGCCAAATAGTGTTTCGATTTGGGAATTTTATACCATTTTCGACTCGTAAGGATCAGTACTATCGATTGGCATCAAAAAAATAAAAATCTAATTTTTGACCAAAATCATCAAAATGGCAAGGGGTTACATCACGTTTTTTTATCAAATTCGGGGTCGGTTCGAAAATTAAAACTTTTTTGATTATTTTTATTGAATATCTCGGGTGAATATTGTCAGATTATGAAATGTTATACCTTTTTGAATTCGTAGGGATCCCTACTATCAATCTGCATTTAAACATTTTAAAAATCGATGGGTTAAAAAAGTGGTTGACCAAAAACCGATTCGTTTGTAAAATCAACCTTTTTTGATGATTTTTTGTAATATCTCGGCCAAATACTGTCCGATTTGGGAATTGTATACCATTTTGGACTCGTAAGGATCAGTACTATCGATTGGCATCAAAAATATGAAAATCTAATTTTTGACCAAAATCATCAAAATGGCAAGGGGTTACATCACGTTTTTTATCAAATTCGGTGTCGGTTCGAAAATCTAAACTTTTTTGATTATTTTTATTGAATATCTCGGGTAAATGCTGTCCGATTTTGAAATGTTATACCTTTTTGAATTCGTAGGGATCCCTACTATCAATCTGCATTCAAACATTTTAAAAATCGATGGGTTAAAAAAGTGGTTGACCAAAAACCGATTCGTTTGTAAAATCAACCTTTTATGATGATTTTTTTCAATATCTCGGCCAAATAGTGTTCGATTTGGGAATTTTATACCATTTTCGACTCGTAAGGATCAGTACTATCGATTGGCATCATTAAAATAAAAATCTAATTTTTGACCAAAATCATCAAAATGGCAAGGGGTTACATCACGTTTTTTCGCAAATTCGGGGTCGGTTCGAAAATTTAAACTATTTTGATTATTTTTATTGAATATCTCGGGTAAATGTTGTCCGATTTTGAAATGTTATACCTTTTTGAATTCGTAGGGATCCCTACTATCAATCTGCATTCAAACATTTTAAAAATCGATGGGTGAAAAACCGTGGTTGACCAAAAACCGATTCGTTTGTAAAGTCAACCTTTTTTGATGATTTTTTGTAATATCTCGGCCAAATACTGTCCGATTTGGGAATTGTATACCATTTTGGACTCGTAAGGATCAGTACTATCGATTGGCATCAAAAATATGAAAATCTAATTTTTGACCAAAATCATCAAAATGGCAAGGGGTTACATCACGTTTTTTTATCAAATTCGGGGTCGGTTCGAAAATTAAAACTATTTTGATTATTTTTATTGAATATACCGGGTAAATATTGTCAGATTTTGAAATGTTATACCTTTTTGAATTCGTAGGGATCCCTACATCAACTGCTAACATAACGTGGTTGACCAAAAACCGATTCGTTTGTAAAATCAACCTTTTTTGATGATTTTTTGTAATATCTCGGCCAAATACTGTCCGATTTGGGAATTGTATACCATTTTGGACTCGTAAGGATCAGTACTATCGATTGGCATCAAAAAATAAAAATCTAATTTTTGACCAAAATCATCAAAATGGCAAGGGGTTACATCACGTTTTTTCGCAAATTCGGGGTCGGTTCGAAAATTAAAACTATTTTGATTATTTTTATTGAATATCTCGGGTAAATATTGTCCGATTTTGAAATGTTATACCTTTTTGAATTCGTAGGGATCCCTACTATCAATCTGCATTTAAACATTTTAAAAATCGATGGGTTAAAAAGTGGTTGACCACCGATTCGTTTGTAAAATCAACCTTTTTTGATGATTTTTTGTAATATCTCGGCCAAATACTGTCCGATTTGGGAATTGTATACCATTTTGGACTCGTAAGGATCAGTACTATCGATTGGCATCAAAAAATATGAAAATCTAATTTTTGACCAAAATCATCAAAATGGCAAGGGGTTACATCACGTTTTTTATCAAATTCGGTGTCGGTTCGAAAATCTAAACTTTTTTGATTATTTTTATTGAATATCTCGGGTAAATGCTGTCCGATTTTGAAATGTTATACCTTTTTGAATTCGTAGGGATCCCTACTATCAATCTGCATTCAAACATTTTAAAAATCGATGGGTTAAAAAAAGTGGTTGACCAAAAACCGATTCGTTTGTAAAATCAACCTTTTATGATGATTTTTTGGAATATCTCGGCCAAATAGTGTTCGATTTGGGAATTTTATACCATTTTGGACTCGTAAGGATCAGTACTATCGATTGGCATCAAAAAAATAAAAATCTAATTTTTGACCAAAATCATCAAAATGGCAAGGGGTTACATCACGTTTTTTATCAAATTCGGGGTCGGTTCGAAAATTAAAACTTTTTTGATTATTTTTATTGAATATCTCGGGTAAATCTGTCCGATTTGAAATGTTATACCTTTTTGAATTCGTAGGGATCCCTACTATCAATCTGCATTTAAACATTTTAAAAATCGATGGGTTAAAAAAGTGGTTGACCAAAAACCGATTCGTTTGTAAAATCAACCTTTTTTGATGATTTTTTGTAATATCTCGGCCAAATACTGTCCGATTTGGGAATTGTATACCATTTTGGACTCGTAAGGATCAGTACTATCGATTGGCATCAAAAATATGAAAATCTAATTTTTGACCAAAATCATCAAAATGGCAAGGGGTTACATCACGTTTTTTATCAAATTCGGTGTCGGTTCGAAAATCTAAACTTTTTTGATTATTTTTATT